TTTTTTTTTTTTTTTTTTTTTTTTTTTTTGGAACGGTTGGACGGCGACAACGTTTTTTTTTCTTTGTGCTCACTTCTCATCTCACCCTCACATTCACTCACCCCATTCCTTCCTCTTTCTTTCATTGATTCGTCACTTTTGCACCGATAATCAACGTCTCGCATTTCAATGGGGTTGCTTGACTTGATGGGCGATGAAAAACACTCTGGGCAATGTAGAGTACACCTTCCCAAAGATGCATGCTGGACGATTGTGGAAAGAAAGGAAAGTCGAGTACACGTCTGACAGAAGGGCGTAGCTGACCTTGTCATTCTTGTTGACCTTGTCGTCGGTATGACCATTGACCCCTGTTTTTTTTGGTTGACCAGAAGGCCATCACCTTATTTTCATTATCTCCTTTCTTTCTTCCTTCGCCCTTGCTCATCCACAACGGAAGGACGGACGTGTTGATACAACATGATCAAAGACGATAAGCAAATAAAAAGAAAAGCTGATGGCGTTATGAAATTTCAAACAAACGTGAGTGAATGAAAGGTAAAATCGATAGCAAAGTAACAACAAGTATAAAAAAAAACAGAATGCTCCACCACAAACAAACTCGGATAGGCGATATCAGGCAATAGGGCTATGTTGTCGATTGTTGATTGTCGTTTTTTCTTTCCACGGACCGACCCATCTTCAATCCAGATACACCGATCCAACTGAGAGAGAGGAGCAAGGTGTCCTCAACAAAATCTACATGTATTTGATATGAAAAAATAAATAAAAATAAAACGGAGACAGAAATAAACAAAGAGTGAGGATGAGAACAAGAGAGTTGAACACAAATGGTTCAATGATGGGCAAACCAAGAGCAAAGTCAAACAATAGGGCGAGCTTAGAAGAAAAAAAAAAGAAAAAAGAATGAGTTGAACCTCTACAAACGAAACTGAACGAGTTCTCGTAGTACGTAGGCTCAGAACTTTTTTTCGGGTCTGTCGATGGAGTGGAATGGCAACATTCGACAACAACCAACGCCTTTATTTTCCTCTTCGCACCTCCTTCATCGCTTCTGTCTGTTCCCCTCCATTTTTACTTCTCTCATCATCATCGCCATTCGTTTTTGCTCTCCATCGATAAGAAAATAATAAAGGTAGAACGAAGAACGCGTTCATCGATTCAAGATTTTTCGTGTCTTTTGGTGCTCTCAGATCTATTCTTCTTACATACCTTCTCTGCTTTGCTGATAACTACTATCGTCCAACGGTTAGGCAGAATCATGCCAAGGTAAGCGAAGCTATAGCAACCGTTTTAGGACAGAACGCATAACAAACGCCTCCTCTTCTTTGTCAGAATAAAGAAGACAAGAGAGCGAGTGAGTGATAACAGTAAAATAAGAATATAAAAAAGTATCAGCTGCATCCCCATCTCATATCACGAACGTCCAATGTGGAAAAAAAAAAGTGCGATCGTCTTATCGCTCTACCAAGAAACCTTTTTTCGCTTGATCAGGTACCTATGTTCTGTGGTCTCTCTCACATAACTCAAATGAGATTGATATCGCTTTATCAGTTCGTTTCACACTTTGTCGGTCTTATTCAGTCAGTGATGACCTTATGTAGGAGGTGGAGGGAAATGTTATTGAGAGGAGCGAGAAGGTTGATGAGGAGGGAGAGAGCAAAGGAAAGGAGAGATAGCCTGTGTGTTGGAGAGTGATGTGCTTTTTGCTGATAGCGACAGAGAGAGAGAGAAGAGAAGGTAGGAGAATGAAAATAAGGGTCCTCCAACACAGCTTGTGGAGACCAAAGACTAAATCGCTATCTAGCATCTTTTTTCTTGTCACTCTCCTGGACGCCTATCTCCATCTCCTATCTACCGTCTGTGTCTTGGACCTTTTGCTAGCGTGGAAAAAATGGAACATCGATCTGGTCATTGGATAGGATTACACTCTTTGGGTCTCTTATCTCTGTCTCCTTGATTTTTTATCCTTTGATCGATCAAAAGCAATGCTTATGTTATGTTATGTTATGTCGTGCATCGATAGAAAACACTCTAGTCTAAACGCGTTTTGTTCCATCCAAAGCGCCAGAGACACATCACGTTTTCGTCCTTCTCTAGGTTTTTCTCTATCGCCCAGGGGTCAAGGGCGTTATAATGCTGTGTTGACGATTGATAACAAAATAATAATGTCGACATTGTTTTTCATTTATCGGTGAGACGATAGTGCCCTTCCCCTCTGCCCTTTAGCCCTGAACAAAACTCTAAACCAACAAGCCCTTTTTTCAGGGTCAGAGTCGTAAACACACGGACCGGAGTCTACAAAGCAAAACTGGACTGATAAGACTTGTTTATGTTTTTGGGGGGTCATTCGTTTTTGTTTATGTATGTATGTGGAGAGCGAAAGGGGCTATTTCATTGAATGATCGGACATGGCGGCCTGCTATCAAACTGGAGTGAAACGCCAACTGTCGAGTTGGAATGGTTGGAAACAAAAAACATATCGGATTCGAATAAGAGAGGAAAGCACACCTGATATATGGACCAGCTCTTCGCATTGTGTAGTTCGGCACTTGTATCTTCTGTTTGTGTAGATGACCGACCGGTAAGGCAATGTAGGGATCCTCCGACCATCGACGCGTCTTTTGCCTTGTACCTCTTCTTCGCCCCTAGAGTTTTGAGCCCTATAATCATAAAGGCGCCACCAATTGCTCCCAAATCTCAATGCCATGGGTAAAATCTTACAGAAAACAAATTCACCACACAGCTTCTTTTTCTCTTAAATCTTCCAATTGAGAACGAATAGTAAAAGTGAAAGTGAAAGAAAAAGCCTCCATGCAAGCCAAAAGGGAAGGGGCTCTTTTTCTTTCCAGAATGCACAAGAGCGCTAGGTTTTTTTTCTCATACTCCTCACTTATCATTCAACCCTTGCTTTTCATCTTTGTCATGGTGTTACGAAAACACAACAACGAATGGCTTTGATAAATAGGATACATTTCAAAACGAAAACAAAGGTTATGTACTTGAGTAAGCATAAAGGAGGTGACAAACCACCGGGATGAAAACTGCTCCGCTCTTTTCCTTAGTCCTTGTAAAGCCAGCATAGAGACCGATAAGCGTGAATAAAACAAAACAGAAGTCAGCACAAATGAAAACGAGCCAGAAACAAAAAAAAAAAAAACAAAACAAAACAAAACAAAACAAAACAAAATAAAAAATCAAGTGGTGCTCTGTGTGTGGGGAGAGACTTTGAGGTGATGAGGGATGTCCCGAACATGACGGCACTTGGAACTATGATGGGAGAGGGCCTAACAAGCCGGCATGGCCAAAATACAGAACCCTAGAATTGTCCCTTTCTCTCCACATTTTTTGTTCTCTTACTTTGATAAGCGAAGTGGCCTAAGCTGATTAAATCCATACCATCACGTGATATCCCTTTTGTGGGGTCTTGGAGTTGCCCTTGGCTGGCCGAGTCGTTGGCGTCAGTGCCCGGTTGAACAGGGTCACTTGTCGAGGGAGAGGGAGAAGGGAGAGTGGAGTTTCTCTCGGCAGCTCCTGTACCCAAAGGAGTATCTTCGGGGTCAACGGGCATAACTCGAATAGCGGCAGACGAGGAAAAGGATGTATGTATATATATATATATGTGTGTGTGTGTTTGTGTATGTGTATGTGCTCCCTCTCAATATCGCGAATAAAGACAGTAACTCTCAAGACCTGCTCGTATCGTGGAAGAAAGGTGTTTTATGTCAATAACTATTCTCCAAAGGCTAGAAACTACTATTGCTATCAATGGTCAAAGGGCATAGTGCCTACCTGCTCGTATCGTGGAAGAAAGGTGCTTTTCCAGACACTCGCAGGCAAGCGCGTAAAATAGCGAAATGGCCACCAGAAGCTAAGCCACCACACTTTTCATTCAGAAAAACAAAGTATCCTTCTCCTTCTTAGCCAACCCCCTCCCCCGGTCGAGCCGCCCCCGACCGACACCAACCATCCTACCTAACATGTGTACTCTATTTTCTCTGTATTTTATTTGCCCTGCCTTTTTCCGGTTCTCTGTTTATCTGTTTTTCTCAGTTTAGATGTAGTTTGTGTGCTTTCTTGGAAAGTATTTTATTTTTACATCTTTTGATTTGGCGGTGACTCGAAGCTGACGAGTATTAGTTTTCTGCACGCCCATCCACGACGCAATAAACTTCTTACAAAACAAAAAAAAAAAGTATCTTTCTCCCTGTGAACCCTCTCATTACACCATGGCACGTAAACAGGCGTTGTCAGGCGCCATCCAACCGGTTGCCAAAAAAACCCCGAACCAACAAAGCAACCAAAGCAACCAAAGCAACCAAATACAGCGGACCTTTCACGACGACCCAGCCTAAAATACACCAAAGTTGAACTCGACAAGTTTCATGATGCGCGTTGCCGCAGATATGACGATCTTTTGAACTGTGCCAGGAACAGCCAAGAGGCTCCTTCTCATCTTCTCCATCAGCCTAGCAAATACGCCATTCCGATGACTAGGATTTGCTACACCATCCGCGTTAAACTGGAACTCATCGACATCTATCGCTTTATTCAAAAAAGTTATAGAAAAGTGCAGAGGAACATAAAGATTGCGCCCGTTCTCAGCCCGAGGACTTTGGAAAAATACATCGGTATTTATATTCACCAAAACACACTTAATGGCCGGTTGGCTCAGGAGGACAAGCATCGGATGCCTGCGAAGCCTAGCAGGAGGACGCAACCCTCTGAGTGCTGATGGTCTCAAAGCGATGAGAGTTGCAGCGAGCAGCGGATCGACGAAATGTCAGGAAGTCAGAAAATTGATAAAAGCCCTTGTGCGGGTTAAGGTCAAGGCCCAATCAACGATAGGGTCAGCATTTTCGGACAACCAGTCGCACTCAGCAGCGAGCAACAGCCATAACCACTACCACTACCACTACCACTACCACAACACTACCGTCATAGCCAGGGATGACAGCGACAGCCACGAGGAGGCCCTCATCCACCATCGTGTCACCACAGTATCAGCTGTACATGGGCTTGCACCTCTCCAAAGCTATGTTGATTTTGGCAGAGAGCTTCTTGATGGACTTGAAGGTGAGGTTGGTGTTAGACTCGGTAAAGAGGGTGATATTGAACGTGATGGCAAAGATGATGAGGACCATACTGGCGATTACAGATTGTATAGAGTCAGTGGTAATGCAGCGGACAAAAGTAGCAGCAACAGTGGTAGTGGCGGCGACAACGATAGCGACGATGATGGTGATGATACTTTTCATATGGCCACTTTGCTTAACAAAGTGGCCATAAAAAAATCGCGGTGTACAACAGCCTGTCTACAGGCAAGTTGACAAGGTAGGCGCCAATGTTAACCTTTGCATGGTACTCTTGTGCCTCAATAGCCTCCCTCCTTTATTAAAAATGGCATCTTTTTTTTTTGAAATCAGCATCGAAATCCATTTTTAATAAAGGAGGGAGGCTAATGTCACCTCGAAAAAGAGCGCCACTCCAACCGCAACATGGTTTCTTTCTCTCCAGAAGAAAAGGGCAAAAAGAGAAACCTTACCTCAGAAAGTGCTCTCCTTCTCCCTTTTGCCCCCTATGGGTGTTGAGTGGTTTGTCGTCTTGGCAACAGGAGTAAAAGAAGAAGGAGAAGGGGATGAGGCTCGCAACATACACATCCACTATTGCTATCCTGTACCTTTATCTTGTTTCAATTTTTCTTGCATTCCGTGGCGTTTTCTGAATGTGTTAGTCCGTATGTACTGCACCATGATCGCTTGCAACTCTTTTTTTCCACCGGATCTACGATTATCCCTTCCCCTTCTCCCGTCGCCTCTGATCCCATCTCATCAGCCAGCCTCGGCTAAAAAGCCATTGTTAACAGCCCATGTCTACCAACCCATCTTTCCTTGCAGGAAACAGTGCTAATCGAAGTCATTTGGAATTGGGATACTTCTGGCTCAATTAACGCATGTGGTTGAGCGTGTGCCAGGATGTTTACCTTTTTTAATATCTTTCACTCCCTCCTCCTTCTCCACTCACTTCGTTACATAGATGTAGTAATCATTCAGGAGCAGAAAGGGTATGCAATTCATGGCCCATTCCAGCCCCTTGAGGATACAAATTATAAATACTCTTGCAAACCTGGTAAAGTTCTATTTTCATGAATCACCCGAGGAGCGAGAGGAGTGAAAAAAAGAAGTGCTCAGATCTTCATTGCAGACTTTTCTCATGTGGGCGAAAAAAGAGAGATTAATTGTCTACTGACACCGACACGACATCCCATCCGCCGTTCACCGTTCATCTTTGCTCAACACTAGCTTGCACTTACCCTGAGATCTTGCCCTTGAGCATCCCAACGACACATGGACACGCAACACACGCCGCTATCCCTGAGTCGACCGTTGGGTGGGGTGTAGAAGAGAGAGAAACAGAAAAGTGCCTAATCGGTGTGAATTACCATGATTGTCCACAGAGGCAAAGTAAAGAAAACACAGGCATCAGAGCGAGGTGGTGCGAAAAGAAGGGATGGAATGAAGGGAGGCATGCAGGCAGTGCGAAGAAGGGGGGAATAAAAGGAAAGGCGGCTGAACGAACCTTGTTGTTTTTGCCTTACCTCTTTTGTTGATTGGATTGCGGTCTCTGGATGGGCTGAATGCCTAGATCGACTCCCGATTCTGAACTCTTTTTTATCGTTCGCTCCATTCGAGGTGTCCGGTCACCGCTCTTTTGTGCGTTGCAAACTCAGGAAAGGGGTTTTAAGGGAGCCATGATGCAGCCAGCCCCAGTCCAGCCCCTCTTCTCACCTTTCTCACCTCCTCCCCCCCCCCCTTGTCTTATTTTTTATCGCAGTTGTGCCATGACTGCTGCATGTATGTCTGTAAGTCCCTGTCCAGCCGAGCGCGGTGCAATTCATCGCGCTCACCATTCCACACACGGCCCAGGACACAAACACCACACGACCAAACATTGTTTGCTCACTGTTTTTTGCTGGCTGACTGTATGTATATGTGTCTCGCACACGACAAGTCAGACAGGGCTCTCCGTTTTTTTTTTTTTTTTTTTTTTTGTTGATGTTGTTTTTTGCTGAAGAATGATGGACGAAAGGGAAGGAGGATGTCTCTCCTGTCTTACCTAGTGCTCTCGTTTGTTTATTCTTTAAAAAATAAGAAGGCATCGATCAAGAAGGACGAGGGCGAGAAGCACAGAAAAACAGAGTTGAGCTCCGTGATCTTGAAATAGAACCGGTTGAACCCGCCATCTCCCACTCCTTGAATAACACGACAACAACGAGCGAGCACTCCCTTTTTTTCATCATCACCATACACTCCTTCTTTTCCTTCTCTTGATTCATATGCATGAGCGTAAAAGAAGAACGAAGAAGGAAGGTTGATTGCGCAAGGGTTGGGTTCATTTTCTTCCCTTGTTCCTGGGTATCTTCCTTGGTTGCTTTACGCCGTTCCACAACAAAAAGTCTTCATTCTCGTGCTGTAATGGAGTGGGGGCGGGCATTTTATATAAAAGAACTTCGATGCCCACAAACTCCTGTTTTTTTTTCTTTGCACCTCTCCACACGGCCCACCACCACTACTAACTGATCCCCTCCCTCCCCTCCCTTCGCCCTCAACCACCTTCATCCTCTCCGTCTCCTTCCTCCTTCTCAACGACGACAACAAAAACAGCCCAGTATCCAAACTTTGGCTATTAACGCACTTACACACAGCTCTCTTTATCTACACGAATGCGCTCCTTCATTATCCCTGGCCTTCTGGCCCTTGTTGCGTCAAGCGCACTAGCCGATGGTAAGTAGTGAGCCAACAAAGAACAATAGAAACATCAATGGAACCAACACTAGTCTCTAAGAAGAAAAGGGTTAGAGTGAACTACTTACTCTTCCCCTGTTACCCAATTTGAACATCATTTTTTTGTTCATGTACCTGAATATCATACATTCCACAACAACCTCTTTGTTTTGATTTCTTTGTCTTATACCGGGATCGAAGTAACAACCCACTTACATATACACATTCTCCTTCGCTACTCTTTCATAACTCTCCTACAAACAAAACAGTTGTGTACAATGTTATCGGCTACCCTGACACCGAGAAGGGTGCCTTTGGAGTCGTGATCAACAACAAGTTGACCCCCCTCACAACCACCGAGGCCACCTTCCCCCTCTGGTCCGCCAACGTCGTCGGCGCCAACCCCAGTTCCGGCTACCGCTACGCCAAGCTCGACGACGCTGGCGGTATCGTCGACAAGGAGAAGTTCCTCCGTCGCATCGCCACCGTCAAGGCCAGGAACACCCCTAACGAGTTCTATCAGCGCGAGAACACCTTCGCGACCTTCCCTGCCCTGCCCCAGGTCTACCCTAGTGTCCGCCCCAAGACCTCCAAGGCCTTTGACGATACCCAGATTGCGACCATTCACTTGACCGCTGACCCTGCCACCGTTGCCGACATGCTCGCCAACCCACTTGATACCGAGCGCAAGGCCATCAAGGCTGGATTCCGCTTCATCAACGCCGACACTGTCTACAGCGCCGCTGAGGTCAAGCTAAAGGTCTCTGGTCACGGTTCGCGCAAGTTCAAGAAGTTGTCGTTGAGAATCAAGTTTGACGACGATAAGGGCGAGACTTTCTTTGACCGCCCCGTCATCAAGCTTCGCTCCCAGTCGTCCGAGCCCACGTTCATTCGCGAGAAGCTGTACATTGATTCCTTGAACGCCATCGGTGCCAGAACCACCCAGGCTGCCTGGGTCCGTGTCTATGTCAACAACAAGCCTTTTGGATTCCACCTGTTGGTCGAGGATATCGAGACTCCCTTTGTCCGCGGCACCTTCCACGATGGTAGCGCCGAGCCCAAGAAATTGGGATCGCTTTACCAGATGGGATCGCACGTCGTTGGCGAGGAGGGCACCATGATCTATAACGGCTCCTTGACTGCCAACTACAACCCTGAAGTCTACTCCAACAAGAACTTGGGCGATAACCCCAAAGACGAGCCCATTGCCCAGTTTGCTGCGTTCATGAAGGATCTTGCCGAATACGACCCCACCTTGGCTGGCGGTTTGAAGTTCTGGAACACTCGTCTGGATGTCAACCAGTTCTTGAAGTCGATGGTTCTCGAGTACCTCGCTGGCGCCTGGGACGGCAGCTGGTGGAAGGGTAACAACTTCTTCATGTACTTCAATCCCACCCAGGCCCGCTGGCAGTTCATTCCCACCGACTTTGACTCGACATTCAGCGACGGCAGCCTTGCAGACGTCGCTGTCCCCTACAAGCAGTTCGCCGCCAGCCGTCTCCGCCGCAAGGGCAAGGATCACCCCCTCGTCAGCAAGTTGATCCTCAAGAACAAAGAGATCAACAAGGAGTTTGAGACGATCCTCAAGAGCACTGTCCAGAACGTCTTCAACAACGCTGTCCTCGACCCCCGCATTGCTGCCTACGAGAAGTTCATCGAGGCCGAAGCCGCTTGGGACTTCTCCTTGAACCGCTCCAAGAACCCCGGAAAGGACCCCAAGTACACCATTTCCACTTTCCACGAAAGCTTGACCGGCCCCGTTACCGGCATTACCTACGGTGTCAAGCCCTGGATCAACTACCGTGCCGCTGATGTCCCCAAGCAGATCAAGTAGATATGTCCCCCCGCCTTGCTTGCTGCACTAAACCACCTCAACCCCGCCCCCGCACAGAAGGAAAAACGAAGGAACGAAAAAACAACAACAGCATATCTCATTAGCATCTATTTTTGCATCTTTTCGAACAAATCGAGGGGGAAAGGGGGGGAACTATAAGGGGTGACAAAGGGAGCCATACTGGTTTTCTGGCTCTCCCCCCTCTTCTTCGTAACCCTTTTCCCGCTCTTTACTTAATCACTTTCATGAATTCTGCATTATTGTTGTACGATCTTGTGCTATTATTTTTCTTGCCATCTATACCATCATCTACCATCCATTAAAAACTATTATGAAATCCACTCTGGTTTGCTTGTCAATGGTGTCGTGAGGTGAAATGGGCGCAATGGTCCAATGCTACTATATTTCTTAAGGGGCCTCATGTGATCGCGAGAGAGATGCATATCCGTGATTTGTAGCGGGGTTAGAAGTGGCGGGTCAAATGTCAAATGTTGCATTCAGGTGTTGATTGTGAACACCGCGAACCATATGAATACGAAGGTGTGAGTTTGCTTGTGCGCATGCATGTTTGCAACTTTACCTGTTGTAATTGTAAATGTTTCTATATGCGCATGCCAGCTATCTGGGGAAGGGGAGGTGGGGGCACAGACATGGCATTAGAAGCATTGGGACAGACCCCATCGAATCAACCAGCCAGCCAGCCACTCAACAAATGAGGAAACCCCAATAAAACAGGTGACAAACAAACAGCATGTCTCCACATTCACGTCCCACTTATCCCCTTTTCCCTTTCTCCAATGGACCAATTGCCAAGTGCAACAACACATCATCGTACCGCAGACCCAAAAACCAAAAAGCATGCAAAGAAAGAATGCAAAGAAGGCCAAACGCATGCAAAAAAAACATGCGAAAATGCAAAGCCCGAGGGGACGTCAGGCAACTCAACACAAAGCCAATTTCAGTAAATTGCCCTGCCCTCCCCTCTCCCTTTTTTTTGCCTGAACAAATGTGTCCCTGAACCTGACTTTTTGCCTTTTTGCTCGGCAAAAAAAAAAAAAGAAAAGAAACAGTACAGTATGCACATCATTTGTTCATCGACCCTGACACAAAACCAACATATTCGGTCATGCATGGTCTATTCCTTCCTCCCATAGCTCGCTCATCGCACTACTGTTATTTCTGGTCACTCTCTCTCTCTCCGAAGCACGAAGCATGCAAGGGAAAAAAAAATGGGCCTAAAAAAATCACACTTGGTTTTTGTTGACATGGAGGGGAGAAGTGATGCTCTTTGTTTCGACTTTAGCAATTTTGCGCACAGATGGTCGGTCCCTTCCTCGTATTTTTTTTTTTTTCGTCCTCCATTGGGGATGTGACCTGACGTCCCCGCTGAACTGGGCTCCTTCTCCTCTTATCCCTACGCATCGATATGCGTCCACAAATAAAAAAAAACCAACAACAAACAGGTGGGGGGGGGATGCGATGCGAGTGATCAACAATGCGTGAATACGTTTTATGTGTATGCGCTTTGTTCGTGAATTTTTTTTTTGTGCCTGTCTGTTCGTAAAAAAAAAAAAAAAACCACTTCGCCGCCGTCATCGTCGCCGTTGTGCGTTCTTTGTTTGATATTTTTTTTTTTTTTTCTCTTTTTTTCTGACAGCCCCTGTTGTGGATGCTGTTGTCAGCGAGTCAAGCCTGTTTGAGTGAGCCGGCTTCTACCCCAACCTCTCTTCGGCTCTTTTGTTGTTGTTGTTGTTGTTTACAGAATGAGTTGAGGTGGTGGTTTATTGTTTGTGGGGAAACAAGAATGGGCTGACAAACACAACACCAACCTCACTTGCGAAGCAAACAACACACAAGAGCGGAAATAGGCAGGATAAAAAAGAAAATGTGACTGGGGGGGAGCCAGGGCGTTTATTTTATTAGTCAGGGGAGAGAGCAAAGACAGACAGGGGCGTAAGTACAACCCGGCCAAGCCGGTCAGGGGTTAAAATAAACAGGCTCTGGGCCAGACCCGACCGAAAGGAGGAGGAGGAGGGTATGCATGGCAAGGCAAGGCAAGACAAGGTAAAACCAAAGAGCGTATGCAGTAGGGCAATTGAGGGTTTTATTTTACAGAAATACCAAGGTAGCAAAAAACGAGAAGGAAAAGACAAACAGGAAAAATGACAACGATAAAGTACTATACAAAAAGAAAAAGGAAACACTTAATACAAGAACAAAGAAATAAAACGACAAAAAATAAGGGGAAAAGCGACAACGAAAAGGGGGTTAGAGGCCGGCATCCTGGCGGGCTTTCTTCTCGAGGAGACGCTGGGCAACAGCAGGGTGTAGCAGTCCCTTGCAGGACTTGCGGTCCGAGAGGAGACCTCTTATCCTGGTCGAGCTGATGTCCTCAGACTCGGTCCGGCTACGAGCGGGTAGCCACCAGATGTTGTTCCTCGAGGCTTCGCACCATTCAGATCCATAAGACTGTTCCAGACGCTTAAAGACTCGCTGCTTCGCCGTTTCTCCTGTTGTTGTTGAGTTGGACGCAGATGCGCCAGAGGTGGAGGATGAGGGGTCTTCGATCTGGTTGGAGACGGGGACAGAGATAGATCCTCCGCTTTGGGTCAAGAGGATGGACCGACGTTGGTTGGATGAAGAAGGGGCGCCCAGGGGTCGATCGACAACAACAATACCGCCGACTAGTTTGCGTGCCCCCGTCCGGAGGACAAAGTCAGCTCCACACAGGTACACAACCCTGATATTGTACGGATTCCTGCCTGCTGCTGACTGACTGGGGTTGTTGACTGTGTTGTTGTTTGTCAAGAGTGACCCCGATCGTTGTGGAACCATCGACGCATAAGATTTCTCGTCCGATTGCTCTCCTGATCCACCACCAACAACAGACGATTGCTGCTTGGACAAAAGGGCGTTCATCCTGTTATGGAGAGCGGTCTGACACCGCTCCTGCAAGAACTGCTGCAATCTCGACGTGACCTTGTTGTAGTCGTAGAAACGGTCCTGGCTCGCCTCCCAGGCATCAACATCGATCCAGTCAGAGTCGGCCGTCTGGAGCCGGCAGAGATCTAAACGCTCCTGTGAGTTCAAGACCAGGTCCTCGCCCTTGAGTTTCTCACCCACGTAGAGATCGTGACTGGGGGAGAGAAATCCTCCGAGGATCATCGCTGCGCCCGAACTGTTGTTGGAGGTGGAGGTTGAGGGTGCGATTCCTTGGTCTAGATCCTCCTGTTCCATCCTTGCCTTGGCTGCCTCGAGCATCTCTGTGTGGTGCAAGTGAATCGGACAAAATGAGCCTATTTTTTTGTGAACAAGATCATGCAGCAAAAAACATAAAAATAAAAATGAGAGCGAATAAGATATGGTTAGTAAGTCATGTTCTGTAAAGCAATATCGTTTCCTGGGTCCTTGAAGAAGAGAAGAGAGAAGGCGAAGTAGGGCAAAGAGGAAGCGGAGGAGTAGACGTAGCAGTGACATTGGGCAGATCCATGACACAACAACACCACTAATTCAATTGAAAAAAGATAATCGTCTTTGACTCTTCACCACTCCACTCGCGACAGGCCACTGCCTAAACGCGTGCTCCATCTCATCATCGTCAACACCACCCATTGTCAGCCGACGGACAAATAAAAATAACGCACATAGGGCACAACACACGCCAAAGAACATGATTAGCCAGCCCATCGCAATTCGCCGAACTATCGTTGTCCCACTCTCCTATATTCAACCCCTTTCTTTCCCTCCCAACAGCCGATAACAAATACAGGGCTGATTGGAACGCCAAAAAATAAAAGATAGTGACCCTGAAAAAAAAAAAAAAAAAAAAAAAAAAAGGTGGTGTTGGCGTTATTCTTTGAAGAATGATGCGTGTCAGAGTTGCGACAATGGCTAGGGACGGGATGACCCAGGGGGTAAGGAATTGCATCAAAGGGGGTGAAGGCGGACGCGGGCGCAGACGCAGAGTGAGGACAATGAGGGAGGAGAGGCAAAGGGGGTGTGCAGTGTTAACAGAAAAAAAAGAGCATTCCCAAAACCAAAAAAAAAAAAAAAAAATTGGTTATTCAAAACAAAGAGAGAGCAGAGGAATGCGCAATAGGATCAAGCGGACGACGGAAACAACACCATTTGCGCCGAGCGGGCAGGAGGGTAAAGGGAAGAAGGGGTAAGAGAGGGATGTGCGTGTGTCTGGAAAGGGAGGAAGGAGGAGAGAATGGAAGGAAAGGGACAGAGGACAGAGACGGAGGAAGAGTGAAGAGAGGAGACGAAGGAGAGAGGAGCAGGGGGAACAGGCAGTCCATGGATGGATGGATTGGAGTGGGGAAAGAGGTGACTCTGTGTCTATGCGTAGACGGTGAAATGGATGGAGAAGAAGGGATGGCTATTGACTGCAGCTTATTGTGCCTCGGTGGATTTTCTCTTGGCTCTTTTTTTTTTTGCACGACAGTGATCACAAGATGTCTGTGGTGAACAGTTGTGCGACCATGCAAACTGGTCTTGCTGTTTATGTCCTTCTCCTGCTTTTTTTGGTGTCTGTGGGGGCAATTGGAGTTGGACACAATGTTGCGGATAAAAAAAAGTGGAGAGGATTGAAGGGTGAATGGTGGTAATTTGATGAGAGGGAAGGAGAAATAGATGTTGAGGCAAAGGGAAGGAATGATGTTGATGGAGACGGGAACCAATGGGGTCAGCAGTGGGGGAAGAACAGAAAAGAAGTCGAGCAATTGTGAGCGATGCGACGCCAGCAAGGAGGAAGAAGAGATGCCTTGAAAAAAATATGAGAAGGTCCAGGGGCCAGAAAACCCTTCAACTCAATTCAGTGGGCGGATAGAAAAAGTAAACAAAAAAAAAAGAAGGGTAACCGATCCTAGTCCAAAGCCCTGTTCTCACTCTCTTACAGTTCCAATGACCCATTGTACTTATCCATGTTACTCAATCGAACATGAATATGTACACCTTTCTACTCTTTTTCCTTTTTTCTTCTTCCCATCAATGCCTTGACCATGGTCCATGGCACTCGGAGGGTAAAAATAACCCTTCCCTTCCTTTCTTCCCTCCCTCATTTCCCTTACCCCCAATGGAACCCTCCCTTCCCATGGTTAATGCTTAAAAGGGAGAAGGGGTAAAAAAAGGGGAGGGTACGGAGAAAGAATGAACAGAGTTGGAGTTGTTTGTTGTTTGTGTTTGTGTATTCGATTGGGCAATTATGCATCCGTATATTCAAAGAAGGGGACATGCATGAGCATGCATCGAAACATACAAAAAACGACGAATGGGGGGTGGAGGAAGCAAAACAAGGGCGATATTACCAAACAAAGCGGACATAACCTTCTCTCTTTAGTCGTTCCTCTCGCCCTGTCCCAATCCAACCCCACATCCTCTCTTTTTATTTTACTTTGCGTTATTGCTTTGCCCTCGGGTTTTTGGGACCATCCTTTGCGCGCAACGCAACTGTCAAGCCTTTAAACAAACAACCACTTTTCTATGTCTTACTGCTTCTCTTTTGACTTGTAACTGTTTCGCTTCCCTTTTTTTTGACTCTTTTTCTAAAGGGTATGTGCGGCCATTCACTCCTTGAATAAACACATGGCGAAAAAAAGGACAGAAAAAGAAGCCGGACATAAGAACGATCACTACAACACCGAAAATATGCCTTCACCAAAAGGGAGAGACAGGACCAAATGGACAAAGAAGAGAAGATCGGTGGTGGGAGAGCCAATGTCAACACAACAACAAACAGACAGACCGAAGGGCGATGACCGCCACTCAGAAGACGCAATGACTCTTTTTTTTTTTTTTTTTTTTTTGCTAACCTAATCAAACACCGAGAAGGCAGACGACACTCTTTTTTTTCACTGTTATCGCACACAGAGAGACAGTGAAGAGTACATACCCAAGACAAGGATTTAGTTGACTTCGGAGAGTGAGAAAAAAAGATGTGGAAGGGGAATAGAAAGAAAGCGAGGCATGTTGATGTTGTTTTTCCAGGTCCTCGACGTTTGACTCGTCCGAACTCTCACTAGCTCGTATGCAGCTGGTGGAACTTTTTTTTTACTCGTTTTGTCGCCCAAGAACAGATCCCCGATCCGGAGGGAAAAAAAAGCAAAAGTGTCGAGAAAGAGGTTTGTGATGAAAGAGTAGAGAAGGAAGATGGATATGTGGTATGTACCTGTAAGCAGAAGGACGATCTTTTCCTTGGCACAGTCCTCAATCGTCATCTGGGCGATGCGTGCCTCGATCTTGTGAATGGGAGTCAGGGCAGCAGAGGCAGAGGCAGAGGCGGCATTGTCGTCATTCTGGATCCGGGGAGCCCATGTGGTTCCCGAGAGAGGGGCGAGGTGGTTGCTGGCAGCAACATTCTTATGGATGCCATTACTGCCTGTCGAGGTGGTGTTGCTGTTGTAGTTGATATGGTAAGGATGGTGGTGGTGGGCCTTGGCGTTGGCAATAGAAAGATCCTGCTTCAGATCGCATTCGCGGTAGAAGAGTGTCTGGTGTTTGACCAAGTGATGACTCTGTGGTTGTTGTTGGTGGTGGGAGTGTGGCATCAGGGAAGGGACCGCGCAGGCAGCGGCAGCGGCGACGGCGGCAGCGGCGACAGCAGAAACGGAGGGGGGTGTAGGGTGGTGGTAGGAGTGATGCCGAGGGTGGTGGTGGTGGTGGTGGTGGCGAGCGGAGGAAGAGGTCGACGGGTTTGAGGCTTTCAGGAAACTCGTGAACAGGAGCGGCTGATCAAACCGCCGCTCTTGCTTCTCTTGGTCACGCAAGTGGAGGGGAGCCGACTGAAGAGCGAGCATATGGGATAGTGGAGGGAGGTTGCGGAGAGTGGAGGGAGAAGGGGAGGAGGGAAGGCAAAGGGAAGGTTAGTCGATGAGAGAGGAGAGAGAGAGTGGAGGAAGGTGAAGGGAATAAAGAAGAGAGAGAGAACGAAATGGATTTAAAAAGAAAAGAAAAAAGGGAGAGACAGATCGAAGAAGTGGAGGTGATGGTGGTGTTGTGGAAAAGAGACAAGAATGGATGTATGGCTGCACGGGCTAAGAATAAAATACAAAAAATAAAAAGGGCTGAGAGGGTGTGTGTACAGGATACAACAAGGTGGGGTGAGGTGGCGAAGGCGGGTGTTATGCGTGTAATGGTGATGTTGTGCCTGTGTTATGTGTGTGTGTGTGTGTGTGTGTGTGTGTGAGTGAAGGGGCAATTGAAGGAAGTATGAATGGAAGGGTGAGTTGAAGTGGGTGTAGTAGTGGTGCTGGTAAGAAGACAAAGGAGAGAAAGAAGGAAAGAGAAGAATCAAAGAAAAGAAGAAGAGAAGAATAAGAGAAAAGAGGTGAAGGAAGGGCGGCAACCGGTGGATTATATACTCAAGTTCATGACGATGACTTGTAAAGAAAGAATCGATTTTTAAATAAAAAATAATAAAGTAAGAAAGCCTTATTCCTCGTCGTCTCCTATTCTCGTCCCTTTCTTTCGTTCTTTCTTTCGTTCCTACTGTGTGTGCTCTTTTCGGTCCTTTTGGTCCATTGTTTTATGTTCCATTATCCCTTACCTCCCGCTGTCGCTGTTGTTGTCCACCACCACTTCCTCCCCCGTCAACAAACAAAACGAACGAACACAACGAACACAAGCAACCAAAAACGAGAAAGAAAAAAAAAGGAACGACGACAAGAAGCAAAAAAAAAAGGGTCGAAATATGATTGAATATCATTTTCAATTGAGAAATATCAGAAAATCAAACTCATCACTCATGGCCTAATCACTCACACCACTGATCAGAAATGGACCATGGCAAAGGGGTAAAGCAATATTACAGCATTAGAAGCGTCTAAGCAGCAAAGACGCAACGACCATACGGACATATCTCTTCCGACAACATGCCTCATTCATGGGGTACACTTCAAACAACTCCATGCGAGTTATGTATGTAATCTAAGGATACAACATACTTATACCAATCATCAAGGAAAGGAACGTCGTCGCTCGTTCGTGCTGTCGCCCTTTGCTCTATCTCCTCTTTTCTCCATGTCGCCTATTGTCTAATACAATCCTCAAATTTTTCCTTCTTGCATTTTGCAAATGCTCTCTTGCTCCTTCATCGACGATAATGATACCCGATTGAAAAAAAATATGGCCTCTCCATTCCCATCCCTTTTCTCGATCTCATCGTTCCAACTAGGCCACGGCCACGTCAAATCAAGCCAATGAAAAAGAAAAAACACCAGTAGGATCAACCAAGAGGCAGAACAAATGACCAGGGGGTGGTAGGGGGAGCCAAAAGACAAGAGAAAGAAAGCAAGGGGGTAGTGGTGGTAGTAATCAAGGCAAGCACGGTACTTGTTTGCGTGTATTTCGGTCGGGCGTGCATGCCTCTCGTTTTCCCTCCTCTTCTGTCTTCTGTCTGTTCTGTCGGTCTGTCCGCACCTCCTCCTTTTCGCTTACCTTTGCCGCTTTTTTTGTGCGTCTGTGTGTGCGTGTGTGCGTGTGTCTGTCCTGCCTGTTCACCGTTATCTTTTTTTTTTTTTTTTTGTGTGCGATGATGATGGTGATGATGATGATGATGACACTTACCTATGAACAAACAACCAGTCGGATTATATAAAAAAAAAGTTTCTTTGTCCGTGTATCTCTTCTCTTGCTCAATATGGTCAGAGGCCCAAAAACGAGCACAAAAAGCGCAGAAAGAAGAAGGGAGGGAAAACGAAAACCGAGAGAGTGAAAGAGAGTTCAGTCTGTCTAGTTCAAAGTCCAGTTCTTCTGTTCCAAGGAGAACGAGTCAGTCAGTCAGTGAAGAGTACAGAGGATGTCGGTCTGTTTGCCTCTTCTGTCCATCCCACAAGAAGGTCGTGACAAGAATAGAAATCAGGGCACAAATAACAAAAAAAAAAAAAAAAATAAGGTCCAGGTACGAGAGACAACCAGAACTGAGAGAAGAGGAGGGAAAAAAAGAAAAAAAGAAAGAAAAAAAAAAGGGGATCAGGAACAGCCAGACAGAGAGTGAGAGACTGAAGGAGAGAGGGTGAGGGGAAAAGGAGCGAATAGGAAATCAGAGAAAAAGACAAAAGTAAAAGGAGAGAAACATGCGACTGACTTGAACTGAATGACTTAACAGTACTCTCCTTGTTGCTCATCCGTACATAGATACACAAACAGGCGTAGTCGACTGACTTCAACTTGGACTTCAATGGACACCAACCTTGTTATGCAAACACAGAAAAGCGCAACCCAACCAACCCAAACCAAACAAAGTAAAAAAGTCCCGGGGCATACACGAACACTCATCCAACACCAACAAACAATCAACAGATGCATCGCAAACGAACTGAACAGGATGACAATCAAATCAACGCTTCCTTCCCTGCGGCCGATCCATTTTGCAGCTTTGCATTGCGCTTTCTGTCTCTCTCTTTCTCCATCTTGTCTGGGGTCACCGCCTCCCGCGTCTTTTTTTTTTCTCTTTTTTTTTTTGAAAGGCACGATGACGAGAAGGAGGCCAACGGCATGTGGAATCAGGACCATTCCTGCATCCCACGTTTTTTTAGTCATTCGCTCCTTTTTGAATCTCTCTCATCACATTCCATTCTACTCTGCTCCATTGTCCCATTCCCAACCCATTGCTCCTTTTTTGTTCACTTCAAACAGGAAAAGGAGAGGGAGAAAGAGAGACAACGAAAGGACAATTGATGGATCGATGCGCCATGTGTCGTTGTGGAAAACGGCCAAGTGGCATAATCAACAACAACAGCAACAACAACAACAAACCATCACCATCAACAATAGCAGCAGCTGCCATGACAGACACCCTTTTGCTCGTCCCGAGAGTCCGATCTGGGCTGGGACAACGAAAAGACTATATGTGTCGTGCCGTGCCGTGTATGTTACTGATCGTTCCTTCGCTTACCCCTCCCTTTTCTCAATCACCTCCTTCTTTTTGCCGAATAACCCCTCTTTTTAGCTTTTCTACTCTTTCCACCCTTTTCTACTCTTCTCTCTCTCTCTTGCTCCCTCTTTCATTCGCCATCACCCCCTTTTTGAATGCCTATGGTAATCAAAATCCTCCGGGGAAAGGAAATAACAACGGTTCTTCAGTGACCAGAGAGCACGAGATGTCGACAAGAGAGCGAGATCGGAAGAAATTTGCGTTGGGCAAATTGAAGCATCTATTAGTTTTCTTTCTCGTTTTCTGTCGCGTTTTATTTTTATGTTTACGATCATTGGAATGATGACGAGATTTATTAATGGACCATTGGTCGTGGAAGGAGAGAGCGAGAGAGAGATAGAAAGAGAATTAGATGGAGTGAAGAATGGTGGCAAGGGTTGTCTAAGCTATGAGCAATGAAAGAGAGAGATAGATATAGAAGAGATAGATAGGGTGCAAGGAATGTGGAAACGAGGGGAAGGGATTTGTCAACACGTAGTGAGAGAGTAGACTCTGAGCAAGAAGGAAGGAGAAGAGGTAAAAGTGCTCTCAGACGCTTGTCCTTCTCTCCTTCCCCTCTCTCTCGAGAGCTCGCATGGAGAAAAGCGACGAGGGTACAGAGAGAGAGGAGAGGGGTGATGTTGATGTTGTTCACCGTCCGTCGGTCGTTTGGGCGAATTCTTTTTTTTTTTTTTTTTTTCTCGTCCAGCCAACAAAACACCGCGCGTGAAATAGTGCGCGGTGAATGGTCCTTTTTTTTTTTTCTTTTTTGCTTTTCGTCTGACTTGCTTGCCCTGTTTGGGTTTATCCTCCTGTGCCTGAGAAAAATGGCTCACAAAGAAAACAAAAGAAACTAGCCTGGGCACTCACAACCTTCTTTTTTTTTTTCTTGCTCACATACACTCACTCACTCACTCACTCACTCACTCTCCATCTTTTTTTCCTTTCCCAACTCAAATACGAACGAGAAAAAAAAAGAGTCAAAAGATAACATCCGACACGAAGAACAGAACGACAACGAGCGGAACAGGAAAACCAATAGCAAGCACAGCGTACTAGTACGTATTGACACTATTTCCACAATCACTTCAATTTGATCGATAGGCAACTATTACCATCCTCCCATGTTTATCCTACGTTCCATAGTCTAATAACCTCGTGTTCATGCAAACATGCAAGCCAAAACTCAAAACCAACAATGCAATCAATTGCAATTGAACGACCGGGATGTTGGAGGCAAGGGGAGGATGAGAACGAGGAGAGAAAAACGCAAGGGTTCGCGTTATCAATATAACCCTTCCCATTGCCGTACTCATTCTAAGCCCGTTGGTCCAATGGCTAATGCAAGAAAAGAATAAAAAAGGAAAAGCGCGAAGCGACCAATTCGACGTGCATGCCCTTTTCCTTCTCCACCTTTTTCTCAAGGGTGTACAACAGTGCCTTTCTTGCCCGCAGTTGCCGGGACCCCTTCTGAATCCAACTTGCTGACATACAATGCTCATAGACACATGCCAAACACATCGTCGTTATGAGTAAGTAGGCATCATCGGGCACTAATGCAAGTAGACAGAGTAATAAGAAAATAAGACGGATAGGCAGACTCGATACGAATGAATTACTAGGACAAATAATTACTGCGTGGACAGAATGCCAATGGTGTGGGCCTGACAGTTCTCACAAACATGTATGCAAACACACATCCAATGAAAATGAAGGTCCATGGTCAGCTGAACAGTATAGAGCGATAAATGATACAAAAAGGACATTGTTGTCCGGACGACACCATGCATTCCTCCAAAGGGGGTGTGTTTGTTGCAGGTGAGGCGATGTAAGTTGATGTGTCAAGTGGACCCTCTCCGTTCCACCCTGCAGACACCCTTCTCGTTTTGCTATCTTTTTCCTCCACTCTTCTCATTTTCATTACTAGCAGTTGTGACTAAAGGGATTTCTCCGTACGTCTTCACTGACAGATACTCCGTCGGTCAGGCGCAAAGATAGAAAAGGCGACACGCTTTCACGTCTTTTTTTTTTTTTTTTTTTTTTTTGTAAGTTTTAATACACCGGCCATGAAAGGGTCATAGAAAACATAAGGCGAAGAAAGATGAAGGGGAGGAAGTGGATATAATAAGGGACATGAATAGGCATGGAGGGAAGAGAGAGATGTTGAGCGTGCATGTTGGCAATTGACGATTTGCAAATCCATAGCCATATCCTCTTGTATCTCTCACTATCGTTTTCTATGTTTGTTGTGCTCACTCCTCTCGATCTCCTCTCCTCTTCCTCTCCGTCTATTTTTTCTTTTCTTGTGCATGTGTGTGTGTATATGTCCTCAAATAGCAACAAACGAAGATACAAACAAAAGAGATCTCAGGAGAGAGAATCCAAGGGAGAGATCAAAGAGAACCAGGACCAGAACCAGGACATTCATTCATTTTTCGAGTCTGTGTGTGTATGAATGAATGTTACCCATCCTCCTGCCTCCTCCCTTCACTTCACTGTCACACCCCTTCACTTTCCCTTGCCTTGGATATGATCATACTTCTTTTCTGCCTTTGCCATGTGCCTTTGTCAATCGTTGGTCCATTTTACATACTTGCCGGGACGGGCGCCTTACTTTCTCCTTCCCTCTCCCCCTCTCAATTGACTCTCTTTGTGGTGCTGGGGCTCTGTTATGTGTTTCTTCCCCATGAATACACATGCAAGTTGTGCATATTGGTTGGTATTACGGCTCTCGCTTTACCTTGCATTGTTTCTTTAGTTGAAATGGATCAATCGAAGAAAAGAGGAAACCAAGGAGAGTGAGAGTCAATGTGTGTGTGGCAAGGAAGGAAGGGAGGAAGGAAGAGCGCATGACGAGGTCATGATGCTGGACCCATTATTTTTATGTCGGTTGCTTACGATAGACTGCGAGTGTCTAATTGCGCTTTGCATTGACCGCTTTGCTTGTCCTTCTGTCTGGTCGCTTTGTTAGTTTGTTACACCCTTTTAGGCCTTGCCCCCTTGCTCTTTCTCCTACTTCTTCAACCAAAAGACCAAGAAACCCATTCGAGGTGTGAACCAAAAGAACATAGGCGTCTATGATCATGCGTGTGGGACAAATAGTGGGACGGGTCCGTTCGCCTTCATATACGTATTTCGAGCAAAGAGGCGAAAGAATCAAAACACGAAGGCAAGAGGTATAAGAAAAGGGAGAAATCAGTACCTTGGGAGAAATGCAGGAAGGAGGTGTGAAATGGACGTCGAGGGAGGAAGTGCAACATGGTTGTGGAGAGAATTATGGTGTGCCTTTGTGTTGGTGTGTTGTTGTTGTCGTCCTGCTTTATTTTTCCCTCCCTCAAATGTCCCTGACCCCCTCGGACTTGAAAAAATAAAGAGGAGGATGGTGTGTTATTTCCCCACATCATTCAAATCCGATCGGCTTCTTTATTTCCTTGTAAAATTTCGAATGTACGCATGAGAAGGGTCCTGGAGAGCATGGTTTGCATTCTACCTTCTCTCCACCTCCCTTCCTATCCGCTGGCCAATGGGATCAATGCTTTAAAGAATATCCTTCACCTTTTAGACAGTAGACATCTCCTTCTCACTCGCATCTTTCCCTCTATCTCTATCTTTCAGGTAGAGTTAGATGGTCAGTCTTCCCTTGTTCCAAGTTAGATATCTCTCTTCAAGTGTCCAAACAACTGCAACGAAAGGCAAGGGGCAAGAAACGTGCACAGGTGAGAGGAAGAGTTGAAAGCAATGGATAGGTGGTGTTTGTGCACACGTGCGGCATTGATTGGCCCTACAACGATTTTTCCTGGCGACCGGGGTTTGAGGGCGAAACGCGGACTTGTTTTTGACTCTCTGAGATCATGCTCAGAGCATGCAGACAACTTTATTTGTGTGTGTTTTTTGGGCTTTCGATAGAAAAACCTGAAGAGAGATATGATCTGATCCGTGTAGACACGAAGAGATGGATGGAGGGTGTAAGCAAAAGGTCAAGAAGTGAAAGCGAAAAGGACAAGCGACCACCATGGTCAAGTGAAAGCAAAGGAGAATCTCTAGTATGAATGTGGTAGATCATATATTTACCTGTGCGAACAAAGGAGATCGCGATGGTGAGAAAATAAAAAGGAGACAGCACACAGAGTGATAGATCTACGGATCAAAAAAAAGACCAACATCAAAAAAAAGAGACAGAAGAAGGAAAAACAAGTGCAGGCGGACAGGCACAGTTCATTGTCCGTTGCGGGTCCGACCATTGGCTTATTATTCACGTTCTTTTTTCCTCCGGATGTGCGCCTTTTCTAGACGACCATGAGATTGACAGCTGCAAGAGTGTCTGGAGGGCAAGGCGGTGTTATCTTTTTATTAGTAGAAACGCTTTAAGGCACCGCTTGACCAACCAGGAAGTGTCGATGGCTGCGATCGGATATGTGCTGTCAAGCTCTAATGCTGTTGCTGATGCTGAAGATGATGATGCAGATGCAGATGGTAGGTGTCTGCTGTTGTTCACAGCAAGACGAATAAGAAGAAGTACAAAGGGCGTGCTCTGTCCCTTTACACATGTAATAGTACAGAGCGCATGTCGCCAATGTTCATCTTTTCTTCCAATGTCCTGTGCTAGAGCCATGTAATGCGAAATAAAAGTATTTTTTTCTCACCGTATTTTATTCTCCTCTTTCTTCTTCTTTTCTCTCTCCCTTCTCGTTCGTTGTTTCTTCACCTCTCCCCTTCACCCCCTCCGCCCTTCTTCTCCTCCCCTCTCTTCCCATTTAGCTCACTTCTTCCAACGAGCTTCCTCTTTTTTTTTTTTTTTTTTTTTTTCCACTTTGGTCTCCTTCAAACGACTATCTCACCACTCCTCCCCACTCTCTCCCTTCCCTCTTTTTGTCTCTCCCACTTCCATTACCTCCCCCACTTTCCGCCTCAATCAGTTCTGATCAATAATGAAGTTTGGCCACCAACTCAAGACATCCCTCTACCCAGAGTGGGTCTACTACTACCTCGCCTACGACTCTCTCAAAGCCGAGCTCAAGACCCGTCTCTCCAAGAACCTAGGTGGCTGGACCGAAGACGACGAATCCGCCTTTGCAGAGTTGCTCGAAAAGGAACTCGACAAGGTCTATTCGTTCCAAAAGGTCAAGTCGGGCGAGATCATGCGTCGACTCCAGTCGGCCAAACAGGAAGTCGAGGAGATTATTAAATCGAATGATGCTCAGAATGAGGATTATGCGTTGCTGGAAGAGGAGTTGTCGCACATCATTGCGGATGTTCATGACTTGGCCAAGTTTACGAGATTGAACTATACTGGATTCCTCAAGATCATCAAGAAGCACGACGTAGGTTTCCTTTCTTTTCTTTTTCTTTGCTTTATACTCTTTGTTATTATGGTTAGAATGGCACCGGGTTGATAAAGAGTGGGTACAGGCAGGCAAGGACAGGATAAAGACAGGAGGTGACAATCAAGCGGTTGGGAGTGTGAGAGAGATTGGAGCGAGTGAGAAGATTCCAATCCACATCGTATCCAACAACCAGGACATCGAACGACTACCATCATCACCACCACCACCTTCACATACATCGTGAAGAGGAAAGAGTGAAAGAAAGGGAATTGATAACAGGGCACCGTGGGAGGGAGGAGTGCGTGAGTGTGTAGTGCTCACTCGCGATGACAACATTTTTTTTCTCTGCAATTATCCAATCCGAAGAGAGTGGTGCTGTGCATGGACAGTTGCACGATTTTCACCGCTAACCTTCCATGGCTCTTTGCAAAATCGAATTCGTTCGTCGGCACTACAAAGCGGAATACTAATCATCTCGATTCTTGACTCTTGATGGCTTGATCCTCTTTAGAAACTCACCCACTGGATCCTTCGTCCCATTTTCATGGTCCGCCTCAACTCCAAGCCATTCTACAAGGAAAACTACGATGCCCTGATTGTCAAACTTTCGAGCCTCTACGACACCGTCAGGACACGAGGAAAGGCTCATGGAGGCGACTCGTCCGCCGGAGGGTCCCAGCAGGCCTTTGTCCGTCAAACCACAAAGTATTGGGTTCATCCTGACAACATCACGGAGCTCAAGCTCATCATCCTGAAACATCTCCCAGTCTTGGTCTTCAACCCCAACAAGGAGTTCAACCCAGCGGACAGTGCCATTTCTTCCGTCTACTTTGATAACGACGAGTTTGAGCTCTACATGGGACGTCTCGAAAAGTCTGAGGGCGCCGAGGCTCTTCGTCTGAGATGGTACGGTGGCATGGATCAGCAACAGATCTTTGTCGAGCGCAAGACCCATCGTGAGGATTGGACCGGAGAGAAGTCTGTCAAGGCCCGTTTCCCCATCAAGGAAAAGTACGTCAACGCCTTCTTGAGAGGCGAATATACCATGGATGCCACTATCGCCAAGATGCGCGCCGAGGGCAAGAAGTCCGAGAAAGAGATTTCCGAGTTTGAGCAGCTCGCCGCAGAGTGCCAATACGGCATCCTCACCAAGAACTACGGTCCAGGTACCTGAATTTTATTTTCTACGAAATGTTTTGATGTTTTGTACGTCTCTTACATGGTTCTAACCCCATTTCCTTCCTACATTCTAGTGATGCGCACATTCTACAACAGAACTGCTTTCCAGCTGCCAGGAGATGCCCGTGTCCGTATTTCTCTGGACACCGAGTTGACCTTGATCCGTGAAGACAACCTTGACGGAAGATCCCGCAGTGGTGACAATTGGCGCCGTATGGACATTGGTATCGACTGGCCCTTCAGTCAATTGGAGGAGGACGACATTTGCCGATTCCCCTATGCAGTTCTCGAGGTGAAGTTGCAGACACAGCACGGCCAGGAACCTCCAGAGTGGGTCCGGGAACTGGTCAATTCTCACTTGGTCGAGTCTGTCCCCAAGTTCTCCAAGTTCATCCATGGTGTTTCGACCTTGATCGAGAACCGTGTCAAGCTGTTCCCCTTCTGGTATCACCAGATGGACATTGATATCCGCAAGCCTGCCTCCAAGAACATGTCCATTTCACGACCTGATCCTAGCGGCTACAGCACCCCAGCCAACACGACCAGTGACGAGGATCATGACATGAGGATCACAGCCGTTGATGATGAGGAGGCCTATCAGGGCGGCGCCAAGCAGGCTCAGGAGTACGAGTGGGAGGATGAGGAGGATGAGGAGAACCCACTGGAGCCTTCGGATAACTGGATCCAGCGTCCCTCAAGACCTTCCAGCAGCGCATCGAGTGAGCAGACTCCTCTTTTGGGCGGTCAGCGTCGTCAGATGAGGAGCAAAAACTCGCTCATCTCGCCTTTCAAGCCTGGCGCAGATACCCTCCGCTACCTCTTCCGTCGCACCAAGGACCGTGTCGCCCACCCCTTCGGCGAGGACGAACCCACCACTGGCCCTCAGACCACATACCTCATCACCCCTCCTGGCCGCAAGATTGCGACCCTGGTCCGTGTCGAGCCTAAGGTGTTCTTTGCCAACGAGCGTACATTCCTGTCATGGCTCCAGTTCACAGTCATGTTGGGCGGTCTGTCGCTGGGTCTGTTGAACTTTGGTGATAAGGTGTCGCGTGTGAGTGCCGGTCTGTTTACATTTGTGGCTCTGTCGTTCATGGTGTATGCCCTCGTTACATACCACTGGCGCGCGTACAAGATCCGTAACCGTGAGCTGGGGCCCTTTGATGACCGGATTGGACCTACGCTCCTCTGCTTTATCCTCCTCACCGCCATGCTCACCAACTTTTTCTTGCAGTGGGCCTATGAGAAGAAGAAGCCATAAGCGTAGAGCATCAACCCTCGATTACTTTTCTAGCGTTATCTTCACCTCTCTTCAAAAAAGACCTTATGTAAAATCAAACATCATTCACCGAAAAAGACAAAAACTTGCCAGCATCAAATTAAACTTTGCATTATCAATAGTTCTCTTTTGAGTAATAGTCAATTAAGATGGTGCCCCAAAGAATCAAGATTCTGGTGCGCCATGAGGTGGGTGTTTACAATTACGATATGCAGTTTATTCCATAACATCCTCTTATCCTTCTCTCTCTTATTTTTTTTTTCTTCTCCCCCTTTTTTTTCTAAAGGAAAATAAAACGTCTACAGGTCAAAACCAAAGCCCTCAGAATCGAGCTGGGCCAGGTTGAGAAGCATGTCCTGGTCAAAGAACTTGTTGACCGACACATCCTCGCTCAAACCCTTGCGTCTACGCGTCTTGATCATAAAGTCTCTGGCCAAGTGCTGCATTGGGCTGGGCTCCAACGGCCGCAAGACAATCGATTTGTTGAGAGGATCACCGGGGACGGTCTGCCAATGATCAAACATCTGCTGTGCAAATGCCTGGCCCTGTGTATGCGTACGCAAATCGGTCTCGAAACCAAACGACTCGATGACGGGAATCACGGCGTGGACGGTGTAGAGTGGAGAACCGGCCTTGGGGATATCTTTGAGAACGTGGCCACGACGACGGGCCAAGACTGTATACACGGCCGATACACAGTCGGCGGGGGCTTGCACTTCCACGTTGTAGACGGGCTCCATCAACCGTGGGCTGGCCATCAGGAACGAAGAGTAGCACACACGACGCGCTGTTGGGATAATCTGTCCGCTACCGCGGTAAATAGGTTCTAGTGCAAGGTCTGCGCCAATAATCCTGAACTTGACACTCCGGATAGCTAATTACAAAGGATGGTAATAAATCACCTTGGTCAGACCTTGGACAGCACCAGCGCACATATGCAAAAAAAAGCGACCTGAGGTAAACTTACGTTCGTCGCAAAGGGGTCCTTCCCTGGTACCCCACTGGAATCCCTGACGGATAGCATCACGGGCTTGCTTGAGACGACCCTTGTCCACCTCACTAGGTAACGTATCATCAATGAGGATGTTGGGTCCGTTCATGTCTGGTCCGAAAGCCCAGATGTTGCGTGCTGCCAAAATATCCCAATCATAGTTCTCCTGGAAGTAAGTTCCCAGCTGCCTTGCCGTCCATTCTGTTGACACCTTCAGTCCCTCGATATCGTCCACAATCTTCTTCTCCAATGGTTCTGCGATCATCGTCAGCTTGTTCCTATTAAGATGAAAGATAGCCGATAAGGAGAAAAAAAAGGACACTGGTTAATGCGCCGTAAGACACTGCCAAATCACTATCCTGAACAAGAGCAAAAAATAGCACATACTTCTTGTTAGGAGTTTCGGCGAAGCACTTGAGACTACTCGTCTCAAGAACTGTCTCGCAGAACCTGACGACGGGGTCAGCAACCTTGAGGTCGATTTCAGAGTAGATCTTGCGCAAATCGTGAAGCGCAGAATCCATGTAAAGCTCGCCTGGTGCCAAAACAATATGTTCTCCGCTCTCTTCCACCCTCGTGATCAAAATAGGGTACGACTTGTTGACATTCCGAAGTCCCTCCAACATCTTGGGCAGCTCTGAGGGGTTGACGGGCTCAATAGCAATCTTCATCACAGCTGAGGTTATAAACCGGAGGGGACGGAAAATGTAAAGTTCCTCTGAGATATCTGTGCTAGTAATGGTTGCTGTCTTGGTGATCGACTGGTCAACGCCTCCGAGCAAGACCCAGTTACCGGCCACCACACTCTGAGTGTCGATCCTGTAGCGCGACTCAAAGACAGACACGCTCTCGACTGTCTGAACAGTCATATCCTCGTCATCGTCAACGGTGTATCCCTCGCCCAAAACGCGCACTCTCTGTCCTGCCCTGACTGTTCCGCTCATGACACGACCGAACGCGTCAAACTTCTCGCCGTCTGCAGAGTTGTACAGCTTGGTGATATGAATCATCAAAGGTCCGTTGGGGTCGCAAGCCTTCATCGCCTTGACGAGATCGCTGTCCATGGGTCCGGTATAAATATGCTCAACCTTCATCGCGGCGCTCTCTGTAGGCGACTTGATGTGTTGTGAGACCATGTCGACGAATCCTGTAGGGGGTCCAAAGAACTGATCCAGGACCAACTTCAACACGGGCTTAACATCCAGATTATATTGCTTGGGCTTTAAAAAGATACCCAGGCTCGAAAGTGTCGACTTGAGAGTATCCTTGTCTTCAGCGACAACCTGTCCATAGATCTTGAACAGGGGTGCCAAAATAAAGTGAACGAACGATCTCTTGGAGCGGGAATCTGCCGCATTGCGTCCAAACTTCCTGGTCTCGGCGTTGAAGTACACATCGCCCCACAAGCGCTTGGCGAATCCATCAATGTCCACTCCAGCTAAGCACGTTCGGAAGAGAGTGGCAAGCAACGACTATAGTCAGTGAGATGAATAATGAATGCCATTCCATCATGTCCAAATCATTTGCTCAACGTCCCAATTCCAGCAAGCCGTCAAAGACTCGGTGCGAACACTTACGGAAAGAGTCGGCGTAGAGTTTAGCAAAGGACTTCAATGTGAAGCACCAGCCCATCTGAGAAGACGCAAAACTGACGTTGCCGAGCTCAGGGGAAAGTCGAATGCCCTCACCACCAGGGGTCTGAGAGATGATAGTGTTGACCTCCTCGATAGTGTGTTTGAGCTTGAAGTAGGCGTCGGTAGGGGGAAGCTTCAGTTCCAAAATGAGGCGATCGACCTTGTTGACGACCAATGTGAGCGCCACTTTCTCCTGAATACAGTGTCTGATAATACGCTCTGTGTTGCACATCACACCTTCCACTGCGTCCACCACAAGAACTGCGCCATCCGCGATCCTCAATGCAGCCGAAACCTCGTCGATAAAATCAACATGTCCTATAAAGAGATAGTACCAAACGAGAAGGACGATCCGCGTTAGATATCCGGATAAGCTATCATCCTGAGATCAAGACATCCATTGCCCAGAAGTAACGTTACCAGGGGTGTCGATGACGTTGAGCAAGTAGGAGACATCCTTGGTGTCCTGCATAACGAGTGTCATTGGCATGCTCTTGATACTGACTCCGCGTGCACGCTCCAAAGGGTGAGTGTCGGTGTAACGTTCCTGCAGATCAATGTTCAAGTTCTTCTCGTGGGTCTCGTTGACAAGCATGTCCATGATCGACGACTTTCCGTGATGAAGGTGGCCAACAATTGCGACGTTGCGGACACGAGGAGGGAACGCCATCAGATCATACATGTACCTGGTAAGTGTGATAAAAAACAAACACATAGGTGTAGGTGAGTTCATAGGCGGGATCAATGTTTTTGTGGTAGCTGTAACACAGAACAAGATAGTAAGTGTTAGCCAGATCTGAGCTGAACACGTACTGTTTGCGGAAGCGAGTTGTGGGGAGGTCCTTCTCCTCGAGCTGGAACTTCTTAGTCTTGAGGGGCTGAACGATAGGCTCGGTCAAGGGTTGTGTATCCTCCTCCTCGACAAGTGCCTCGACGCCTTCACCGTAGACCTCCTCAGCTGTTGGATAGTATTTTTTGTCCTCGTGCAAGACGATCTGGTTCTGTGGGATCTCTGTTACCAAGGGTAGAAAAAAAAGGCCGAGAAAGACGATAGGAGAATTGTCAGTCTATCATTCAACGTCGCGAGGCCATTTTTTTGGAGGCTGAACCACCAAAAAAACTGATCTCCAGAAGAAAAAAGCAAAGCTTTGACAAGACTAGGTGCTGTTGTTGGTTGTTACCTCCAATGCGCGACAAGGCAGTGCTGGTCCTGACATTTTCTTCTTGCATTTCAACGTCTTCATCGTCGTCCATCTCCTGGTCTTCATCGTCCTGCTGCAACTGCTGTTGCTGTTGCTGCTGGAAGTGCTCCTCCTCCTCGTCCTCTTCCTCGTCTGACAGATCAGGGCCGAGGTAGTTGCCGAATTCATCATACATAGACTCGTCCATGGTTAGCTTCTGTATGTAGTGTTATTCGTGGGTGTCGATGTGTTCGGTTTTTTTTCTCCTGAGTAGTGATTCCCGACTCGGACGACGCGCAAAGGACGATGATTGGGGAGGGTTGGAGGGTGCGGTGGAGTACTTTGGAGGCGCTCAAACTCTGTGATAAAAGCAATAAATAAGAACGAACACCGATTTGAGTGCAAACGTGATCTCACTGTATCACGATTTGATCGTGGGTGCTGCAACAGATAGAGCTTCGCCGTGATTTTTTTCGAACTGCGAGGAAGGGTTGTCCCTTTTTCCTTCCTACTCGCTCCTTTTTTTTCTTTCTTTACCCTTCACATACTCACACAGCAACACACACACACACTTACCCATACTCCTTTTCCCCTTTTTCAACCACCTTTCCTTTTTCATGGCAACACGACGCGATGAACCTCGCGCGTACCAGCAGGAGGTCGCCAAACGAGCTATCGAGGGCAACGTCATTGCGGTCTCCGACACTGGAAGCGGCAAGACCCTCATATCCGTCATCCTGCTCAAGCACATGGTGGCCAAAGCGCGCCAAGAAGCCAAACAAACCGGGCGCCAGGTTAGTTTTCTGTGATGCATTGACTCAATGGCCTCCTTCATTGCTTGCAGTCTATCTACACACTTGAATTCATTGTCGATGGACGAAAGGGTTGCTTGTGAAAAGGCTTGGCAGTCGATTTTGACCAGGGGCGTGGGATTTATGCATGCATGTATGCAAAAAAAAAAAAAGGATGGCTTGTATGCCAAAAAAATGCGACACAAAAAATCACTGAGACACCTAACCTTCATTGTTATACATGTTAGAGAAAAGTCGCCTTCTTCGTCGTGAACAAGGTCCCCTTGGTCTTCCAACAGCACGCCTACATCTGCAACAATAGCGATATCAAGGCAGAAGCCGTCTGTGGTGCGATGGGTGCCGACAACTTTGACGAGGAAAGATGGAACACTATCTTTGAAAAATCGGAGCTCATTGTTATTACCGGACAAATCCTCTTCAACATCCTCAATCACGCTTATATCAAAATTGACCTTGTAAGCCTCTCTCACGTTGGTTGTTTCCTCATGCTGTTGCTGTGCTGTGTTTGTTCATCACGTCGCTCCTGACTAAACTTTCGAGTTGCCACTTATCACACTCACTCATTCACTCTCTCAATCTCCCTCAACAATGTTTGTAGTGCAGTCTCTTTATTTTTGACGAGTGCCATCATGCAACTAAGAATAATCCCTACCGAAAGATCATGACGGAGTTCTATCCAGAGGCCCAGGAACGACCCAAGATCTTTGGCATGACCGCATCCCCTCCAAAAGACAAGGGCGCTGCGAAGTTTGCTGCTGTGTAAGTAACAACCGAATTATATAGGTTCGTGAGCAACAAAATAATTTTACGTTGCTGTGCTAATTGACACACTGATCACCGACTATCTTTTTCTTTTTCTTTCCCTTTTTTGATGCTCATTATCCTCATCACATATTGTTGCCACCACCCACTGCATCGGCTATTCACCCTCCATCAGCGAACTGGAAAAGACGATGGACTGTAACATCATCACAGCCTCGTACGATGAGGTCCTCAAGTTCTCCCAACGCCCAAGGGAGCGTGTCGTCAACTACACTGGCGTGAAAATCGGCACCGGTCCCGTCCCGGCTGAGGATGTCACGCGCGAGTTTTCAAGACTCTCCGTTGCCGAGCAGCAGTCCTGTGAGCAATTGGTGGCCATGCTCAAGGATGACAGGAAGCTCAAACCTGCAATTACCTGGTATGAAGTTGCGATCATCGAGCTAGGACCTTGGTTTGGATCCAAGAGCTGGAGGTACATTCTTGACACCCTCAAGGAGGACATCCAGTTGACTGACACCAACTTTCTCGCTCAACGACTGGATTTGATCCAACGCGCGGAGCAAATTGCCACTTCGATGGCCAAGTCTCGCCTCGACTTGGATTTGTCCCAGGTCACGCAGAAAGTGCGGAAGCTCGTCGAGGTCTTGCAGGAGGCCGGTCTCCAACCTGGGTTCTGTGGGATCCTCTTTGTGGAGCGCCGGCCCACTGCCCATACTATGAAGGTTTTCCTAGACGAGTGCAAGAAGTTCGGTCCAGAATATGGGTTGGATTTTATCCAGTCTGCTGTCCTTACGGGTCATGGCGGCAAAGGTGACGTCAAAGAGCACCTAATGAACATCAAGGCGCAGAGGAAGATTCTGGAGGGTTTCCGAAAGGGAACGTACAACCTCTTGATCGCAACCGATGTTGCCGAGGAAGGTATTGATATCGATCGGTGCCGTCTCGTCATCAGGTACATTAATGTTAGTTTTCGTTACATATCGATAATGGCGATGGAAATTATTGGCATAGGCTAACGTTTTTGTGTGCGTTGTTCGATGTACCTTTATAGGTTTGATGTCAAGAACACGGTCATCAGCCACATCCAGTCGCGTGGACGCGCTCGGGATCCCAACTCGGAGTACGTCATCATGCTGCCCGAAAACGATGGCTACCTGGAAAAGATCTCTAGAGCCGAGGCGGACATGCGAATGTGGTGTAGTGAACTCCCCCAGGACCGAGTCATCCGCCTTCGAGGCCCTTCTGCGAACGGCGATGATGAGGACGATGAGGACACCAACTTTGGGCTGGAGGATATGAAGGAATTGGCTGATGTCGAGACTGTCTTCAAGGTCGAGTCCACCGGCGCTCGGGTCATCTTTCACACCGCCGTATCTCTCCTGCATAGGTACTGTGATTCCTTGCCGGCCGACATCTACACGACTTGGAAGCCTGAGTTCAATATCACGAATGTGAAGGGTAGCTTTCACTGTGAGCTGACCTTGCCCTTGAACGCGCTTGTCACCCATTTCGACTCGGGACCGTTCTCCAGAAAGTCTCTGGCCAAGAAGGCAGTGTCATTCCAGGCCATTAAGGAGCTCTATCTCTGTGGGGGTTTGACGGACAGGCTGTTGCCTCACCGCAAGGCGCCCATTGTCAAGGACGATCTGAACGAAGAAAATGAGGAATCTGCCGGGCAAGCTCCTCCGGTCTCTCTGTACCCGATCCATCAACCTACCTTCTGGGAGAACAAGATCAAGCTCGTCCCAGGATCGGATTCAGTGTCGTTGCACGCGACACTCTTTTCGCTCAAGCAACCTGCTACGAGCACCGGCGGTGACGAGACGCTGCCCATCTCCAGGATTCTTTGCCTGTTCACTGCTACACCACTCCCGCAGTTCGATCCCATCGAGCTCTTCTTTGATGGTGACTCTCGTTTTGTCGATATCGTCCGTCTCAACAGTCGCGTCGATCTCTCGGTGCAACAAGTTGATGACCTTTACGAATACCACAAGCAGCTCTTTGATACCGTCTTCCGCAAGCCTGTCGAGGTCGGATCCCTGGATACTGGGGTCCGTCTTCTGATTGCACCTCTCATGCGACACCACACTGGTTCTGATCTTCACAAGGACCTCTCAGCGAATACCCTCATTGACTGGAGCGAGGTCCAGCTAGGAAGCTCCTCGTCTTCGACTGCAGCATTCTACGGCTTACAGGACGCCGACCTCTCCTGGGATCGCCTGCAGGATACGGTGTTGCTTGAGAAGGGCCAGTCGAATCGGTTCTTTACTTCAACAGCCCTCAGGACAGATTTGACGCCCAACAGTCTCATCCCAACATCCACCACATCTCCTTCACCTTCTTTTTTGTCTGACGACGCCTCACAGGCTGAAGAGTCCGACCCAGTGGCAACGATCAACACCTTTACCCAGTACTACAAGACCAAGCGCGGGTTCGACATTCTCAATCCGGACCAACCCCTGATCGAAGTCAAAAAGGTGCCCCGGCGCGCAGACCATCTTCAAACCATCAAACAATCGGCTCTAGCTAAACACAAATCCGGTGCTGCCAACTTTCTGATTCCAGAACTTACTCAGAAGTATCCTGTCACCGCGAGCGCTCTCCGATCTGCAGAGTGGATGGTCTCTGTTCTTGTACGCATCGACGATCTGTTGAAGGCGATCGAGTTTATGACTGAATTTGGGCTCCAGGATCAGATTAAGCTTCCGCTGATGCTCGAAGCCCTCACGGCGACCGAGACATGTTATGCCATGAACTACCAGCGGCTCGAGCTGTTGGGCGATACGTTCTTGAAGTTTATGATGACGGTCGACCTGTTTATTCGATACCCGCTCCTGGACGAGGGTCGGTTGACATTAAAGCGGATGACCACGATTTCGAACAGTCACCTCTTCAAGCGGGCGACACGCTTTAAACTGCACCGGTTTCTGAACAAGCTTCTGCCGGTCATTACGCACTTCTTTGTGCCTACACCTGGGCCTTCTTCTCCTTCTCCATCCTCTGGCGATACCCCTCCTCCTGGTCCTCCTAATGGTTCGGTGGCGTCTGCCGAAGACTTCACTCAATCAGCGACGACACAGTCTCAACCGCAGCCGCCGCAACGCAAGTCCCAGGTGGAATGGCCGATCTCGACAAAGACGATGGCCGATCTAGTCGAATCAACTCTTGGCGCAGCCTACCTCAGCCAAGGCTTCGACTTAGGTCTCAAAGCCGCAGCCGCACTCCTGGAACCCCTCGAGGGGATCCATACCTGGGACGACTTTGCCCGCACCTCCTCCCAAACAGACGATCCTCTCCACCCAGCTCACCCTCTTGCTACACCCTTCAAAGAAGACCCGCTTCTTGGAGACCTGGATAACGTCGAATTCTCGATCGGGTACGAGTTCGTGAACAGACGACTCTTGGTCGAGGCACTGACCCATGCGACGGCCGTCAAGCCTCAGACTCCCTGTTACCAACGACTCGAGTTCTTGGGAGACTCGATCCTCGACATGTTGGTGGCGGATTACTGGGTCGAACGGTACCCTGTCTCCGGACCGGGTGTCCTCCACGAGATCAAGTCTGCGAGTATCAACAACCAGATCCTGGGCGTCCTCTGTGTCCAACTGGAGCTCCATCAACATATTTTGCATTTCAGCTCTTCTCTTGCGACCGACATCTTGCGTGCCACACAACAGATCCAGGATGCCAAAGAGGATGCTCTCACATCAGCCGCTACTGATGAAAATGCGACGACGACAGAGAGAGGAGAACCTATGGGCGAGTACTGGGCCGATTTCAACATGACCAAGGTCTTGGGCGATGTCCTCGAGAGTGTCTTTGGAGCCGTCTATGTCGATTCTGGTTGGGATTGGTCCGCCGTCAAGGAGTTCTTTGATCGAGCCGTGCTTCCGACGTTGAGGGACCACCTCTCGATCGAGACGTTGACGAAGCATCCTGTGATTGAGCTTCATCATCGTATCCAGGGAGCCGGATGTCAATCCTTCAAGATCAAGAACCTGACCGTCGCTCAGGAAGAAGAAGACGGCCAAGTCGCTTCCCAACCCTCGGAATCCTCGTCTTCGTCGTCAACACCTCTCACTACCTTTACCTCGCCACCAACTCCTCACCCCTCAGCGGTTGCCACACTCCCCGACTCGTCCTCCACCATCCCCTACTCGCAGCAACACCGGCAAGGATATGGACAGGGGCAGGAACAGGGGCACCCAGACCAAACATGCGCGGTCATGATCCACGGCCACCCGGTCGCCACCGCAACCCACACTCTGATCCAAGTCGCCCGCAAAGAGGCCGCAAAACGAACCCTGGCCCTCCTCGACTCGGACCCCGAATGGCTTACTCAGTTCTGTGACTGTCCTTCTTCGTTGACTCGACTCAAGAGGGTCCGTTTGGAAAGTTCCTGATGCCGCGTTACCCCTTCCTTAGCCGCCTTCGATTGAGCGTTTTGGCAACTGATATTTGAGAGCGAGTTATTCCATGAAATAAAGTATTGTAAGAGAGAGGAAAGCGGTGAAGTTTTATTTTTTTTGGTATTTCTTACTTGAGAGGAGAATAGTGGGGAGGGGTAATGGTACAAACGAGAATAGGGGGGGGAAGGGAAGTTGTGATAAACATGAAAATACAAAGAAAGGCAAAAGAAGATGTAATTACAAACGCGATGGTTAAAGAAAGTTATAAAGAGGCTGTGGTGGCGGTAATGCGAGCACGCGAGGCAAGGTGAAGTCGTGTTTAAGCAACGACGGCACCGGGGTGGCAGCGGACATAAAAGAAGAGGTATCCAGATCGCGCGCGATATCGAGTAAGGTCAGAGATAGATCCTAACCTAGTAGTCTTTGCGCCATCGTGGCACCTCCATATTCCATCTGTTCCAAGTCGATCGCAGACATAGCGACCTTTTTGTCCTGCAGCGGCCACTGGAGACGACGACGACATGGATAGACCAGTATGACTGACGACCGCCTGAAGTTGAAAGAGTCCAAGACTCTGATCTTCTACTGCCTGTGTTTGTGAGGAGGATGGCGCTCTGTCCTTGCCCTTGGAGGCCCTGGTGACTCGACGAGAAGACGTCGCGTCATCGTCGTCGCCTTCCAAGCGGATCACAGAAGATCTCGAGTCGTGCTGCTCATCTCTGTCCTGAGCGGCATGACGACGAGTAGTACCAGTAGAGTCAGTCCGACGCGTCCGAGGTGGGGAATCCAGGCGCAGCGGCTGGGAAGCTGTCTCTGTCGGGGATGGCGACTGGGACAAGGAGTATGACTGAGAAAGGGACGATGCTGCTTGATCATTGCCTCTAGAGAATCTCTGTCGGTCAATGAAATCAATCGTGCTGGACCTCTTGAGCTGTGCGGGAAGACTCTTCCGAAGATGATGATTTTGGTGGCGGTGGTGGTGGTCCGAGGGTGAGCGGTCCAGCTGAGAGCAAGATCGTGTCAATGTCGCTACCATCTTCTTCTCCAGTAACTTCTTCTGACTAGTGGCCTTGTCGGGCGAGATGTTCTCCTTATTTTCTTCCTGATCCATCAGACTCCTCCGGATCGCCTCCTCCACGTGCTTCTTTTCCTGCTCCTGGACGTCCGCCTCAGTGGGAGATGTCGAGGGGTCTCCAGTCATGAGCGACGCCAGCACTGCAGCCTTGAAGTCCTCATCTCCCTCGTCTTCGCCGCCATCACCATCACCACCCTTGTCCTTTCTGTCGCCTTCATCTTTTCCGATGCCCTTATCCTTATCCTCGTGCACGGTAAAGGTGTCTCCCCGATCGGGCAGTTCCAGCTTGGGGCTAATCTTGGGCGTACCGACATTCGACGATTGCGCGCTCGTCCTTTGAGATCCAGATAGGCCCCTGGAGTCCCGTTTGATCCCGCTTGCAAAGTCGGGATGAGCAAATGGATTGTCGAGACCAAAAACCTGGGACGAAATGACCTCGCCCTCTTCCTCTGCGTCATCCTGCAGCTTGTTATCCGCGACGGAGCTCTGAGACATGGTCATCTGCGAGGCCCTGATCGATTCTTCCATCGCCCATTGATATTGCTCTTCCTCTGTCGGTGCCTCGTAGAACGAAAGTGACTCCTGACTCTGTTGGCTCTATAATATCGGCAACAGTAAACGCGACAATGAGACTATGTGCAGCAATTGACGCGATATTGGTTATCAAAATAATTGACATCCCATGCAGACTTACTGCCATTATAATTGCATCCTCCCCGTCGCTGTCCAGAAGGATAGGAAAATCAGAAGTGGTTCCAAACGTGCCATCTTCACGAAGCTGTGCCATGTATCGTTCAGCGGGTGGTGTCGGCGTGTGCAAGTGATCGTGCTGTCCTCGTGGGCTGACGGATGAGAATGGCGAGCTGCTGGAACTAGGGACACTGTCGCTAGGGATGTGCGGGCGCATCCCAAAGTCCTCCTGAAAATAAGCTAACGATCCTACTTCATCAGTAAATGCCTCAGCGCTGCAAAATTGCGCTACAGGGTTGAATATGACAGTAAAAATCATTGTCAATCATGAGTTCAAAAGTTATCGTCACAGAATGTCAAAAACCACGCGATCTAACACTTACTGAACTCGAGCGTCGCGTCAATGGTAACATGGCTGCGATATTTCTTGTAGCCACCTACTGGGCTGGACGAGAATCGCTTCAAGCACAAAACGAGAACCTCAGGCAACTGTGACAAGGATCTATGCATAATTGCCTGATCAGAGTGGCACTTTTGGCATTCCACTGTCTTTGTGTCGAACAGCTGAGGCACGAGACTGCCGATGCTCACAGCATCCTGGCTATATAGCAGATAGATCAAATATGATGATTAGGGACGCGATTCAATGTATGTAGCATGCAAGAAAAGAGACGGTACCATTACATACTTGGATTTGCTACTGCTGACATCGTGGGTAGGCACCTCCAGCTGAAGATCCTGATATTGTTCTGAGCTGCGGATCATATTTCCACAATTGGGGCACTCTGAGACGCGGTCGATTTTCCCCCTGAACATCTGAGAAATGGGATTCTCTTCCCGATCATTGAATTCCTTCCGCACTTGGTTGAGACAGTCGTTCAAAAACCCGCGCGCGTCATCGAACTCTCCTCCGAGGCATCCTGTTGAACTCTTTACAATTCTGTTTGAGATTTCATCCTCCTTTATCATCAAGTTTCCTGTCTCTGAGTAGGCGGTGTGTGTATCAACAATTATTCTATCGAGTACATAGATGCAAGTAAAATTAGCATCGAATCAAATAGCATTCCACTGAACCTTGCAGGAGGCATCGAAATCGACACTCACTGAAATAGCCCATCTTGGACGCCACAAATGAGTAGCAAGTATGAGTCGGTCAGATCTGGCACAAGAGGGTTGAGGCAGAGTATCGCTTGGAGTACTGCATTGATACACTTTGATCCGCTAGATCTCCTATTGGATGAAAAAAAAAGAGCAAAAGATAATGTTAGCAAGACGAATGGTTGGGGCTTTTTTTCAGGGTGAATAAAAAAGTTTGCTTACTTCTCAAGCACCCTTGAATCCTTAGAAGATTTGTGGTCCAACTCACGGCCATATCTCTTGGACCTATCGTTCATCGACCGTAAAACCCTTGGAGTTGGCACCTTTGCATGGAACTGGGGTCTCGGAACAGGATCTATGGGATGTCGACGTGAAAAGTGAGAACTCTGCACAATTGCAAAAATGATAAAAACAAGAATTACAATGTGCCTCAATGCGCCTTACCTGGCATGTGATGTGCAGAGTGCCCAATGCGTGCAAACCTGTCAAAGACCTGCGTTCTATTAGGGGTAATGATCTAAAAAGCAGTTTAAAACAAGACCGCAGGGCTAGATGTGAGTGCACCTTCTCAGAGCAAGGGGGTTGCTGTCTCGATATCTCTTTTTCATGCAATCGCTTGCATGTCCAGCTTGCATGTCCTGCCAAAGAGACGTACCCCCACATCATCGCGTGCAGGAGAACTTGGAATGGGCCATCGCTCAGGCGTGGCTTGGGGTGCAGGAGGCGATGTCGAGAGGAAAGAATCGACCACTTCATTAGATTGGCGGTGAGACTTGAAGAGGTCTTGCGAGGCAACAGCGCGCGACTTCTTCAGGGTATGTTCCGGTGCAGTCGAAGGGGTGAAATGCTGAATCACTCTCTTCCTGGATTGGGTTGAAGACTCGGCTGATCCAACTGCAATAGGCGGTAGGTTTGGTGCAAGGTCATTTTTCGCGGTTAAATATGCAGAACTTGCATCCGGCTTGACAATTCCGGCCTTGGGTCGATGGCGCGAAAAGTCATCACAATCGCCAGCTACGCGTTATTGCCATGGTAGATGAATGGCGGCAAAGAAAGTTCCGGCATTGGAATACAGATACGTGCAAGCAATTGTTACGAACAAAAGAAAAAAAGGAAGGAAGGGTGATGAAAAACGGTAGAAGGGTGAGAAACACGAGAGCAAAAAGGAGCGCCATCTGCCGATCCATCGGTACAGCTCGTCTTGAAAAGGTTGCTTGTTCACTTACGTCGAGCCTTGATCCGCATCAATTGTTCGCACAACTTTTGACCATCCTCCACGACTGACAAGGTAATGTCTAACCGCATCTTGTTGTTCAGATGTAACTTGACAGTACGCGTTTTATCGGTGAAGTAGACTTGTCGAATGTTCTGGGTCAACTGAGAAAGATGCAATGTATAGCGGCAATGTTAGTGTATGCAGAACTAACGTGGAATGGTATGTGGTCACAATTGGCAGTGCAGAATGTTGAACTCTTCTTCCTCTCCATCAAACGCCCTTACCTTAAATTCTACGTAATCCAACTCCTTTTGAAGATCCAAGTAAAGGTTGACCGAGGCAGTATCTAAAGGTTAAAGGCAAGAGAAACCAATGCCAATGCCAAATGGAAAACGATGACGAAAGTGCATTAATGGAGTAAGAGACTGATCTTGGATAGGAATTATTCATTCTAAGGTTGCCTAGGTAATTGAGGGAACAATTGAGGGAGCAACTGACGCCAGACAGACAGACAGGCAAAGAGACAGAAATACAAAGGAAATAACAAGCGAGCGCGCTCGAAGGAAACAGGGAAAGTGAGGAAGAAAAGGCACAAAGGAGGGTGAAAAAAGGGGAGCTGAGGAAGGTGCAATCAATAACAATACAGGAAGGAAAAGGTGGGAAATAACAAGGACGGTACCATCACAGGCGAGCCAACATTGGACGTTCTCGAACTTGCGACTCAAGGAAGTGCGCTCGAGGTCAACAGCATGAACAAAGCCGCGGAACGAGCCTTGGGGTGGGCGGTAGTCGTCGCCGGCCAGAACGGCCAAGTCAGTGTTGTCGCTGGTCATGGAGGGTTGTAAATGAGTGGGGGAGGATGTTGGAAGGGAGCGAGGGATCGCAATCAGGACCGACGACTGACTTGCTGCTTCTGCCGCACCTTCTTTAAAGTTGGAGTGAGCACGCCAGCGGGAGGCGAATCACGGCAGAAAAAGAGTGGCTGATGAGATTCGGTGGGTGGATGGGAAAGGGAGGGTGAGGGATAGGGAGGAGGAATGCCTCTGTCAAGGAGAGCGTGCAATCTGCAGGTGGTCTCTCGCGACAGAGTTGTCCTTTGGGGATGAGAGTCCAGTAGTATCAGTCTAGACTGGGGATGAAACGGACAAAGGATAAGAAGGAAGGTTGGAAATCAATGGACGATGGCCAATTTGGTGGAGTGAATGTGAAAAAAGGGGATAGCGGTTGGGTGCTGGTTGATTTGGTCGAGTTGGTTGGCTGCTAGTCGGTGTGATGTGGAGCAGATGGAGGATCAGCTGGGAAGAGGATGATGTCGGTGGCAAAAACAAAAAGGTAAAAAAAGAACGAGACAAACGCCGAGGGGGAGCGATTGAGTGGCGATAGAAAGGAGAGAAAAGAAACAGGACAAAGGACAAAGGACAAAAAAAAGAGGCGACTCGAGGACACAGAAGGGACAGAGTGCTCTAAATCCAGACACATCGGCGGAATTAACGTCCCTCAACAAAACACACACACATAGACACATATACACACATACACATATTCAGAGACAAACAGGCAACGGAATCACGCCGGAAACACGGGCACTAACAACCCATCCATACCCAAGGAGACCTTGAAGGGGATACCTATCAGCTGTACTCTGGTGAACAACTGTCTGCATGCCGCATCAAAAGTGCATTTTTCATCTTGTCAATTTATTACTTCCTTCACAGTCGATTGATAACTCAAGCGATTCGTGTATTGTTTTTGGTGGCGCCTCTCTGGTCGTCGTATGAACTTGGAAACTAGAATTGATGATGCCAGGTTGTTTGCGGACGACTAATTGACTGGCGGTACTTGTCTCGTCAAAACAAGTGAGATGTGCCCGTGAGTTGTACCGCTATCTTTGTCATCCGTGTTTATTTTCTGTTATGTGGTTTGTTTGTTTGTTTAATCGCCCGTTGGCTACTGTTGGCGTTTCCCTTTTTGCCTTATTGTTATTGATGTTGTTGTTGTTTGTTGTTCCGTGTCCTACCTGCCAACACGCCGCCTGCACTCGACTGGCCTCTTTCCAACAGCGTTGTTTAATTTATAATTAACAGTCACATCGCGGCTTTGCTATGAAAAATTGGTGGCAAAAGAGACTTCATCGCGTGTCGAAAAAATCCGCACGCGATGGAGAGACAAAATCTTTAAATCTCGCCTCACTGTCCGTGTTCGCCTTTCGCAAATAAAAAAAAGGAATTTATGCAGCGACACTATCTTTCGCAGTTCATAAAAAGAAAGCAAAGCCTCTCGAGCACAATACGCGCCAAAGGCACGCGTTTGCGAAGAGAAAGCAATAACAGTTATTATTATGATCCATGCAGGGCTCGAACCTGCAATCTCCTGATTCGTAGTCAGACGCCTTTCCATTGGGCCAATGGACCTTGGAAGCCTATTTTTTGTGCTTATTATGAACTCAAGGTGTCTCATCATATCACGTGTAACACCACGTGATATGTGCACTTGAGGGTTATCGGTGAAAATAATTGGTGCACTTAAAGAGAGAAATCTTTCTTTCCCAATTCCCATTTTTCGTCTCCAAGAACAGTCACGCCTTCCTCCATCCACACGTCGGGGCTATCCATCCATCCAACCATTAAACCGACAAGGCCCTTGAGCAGGACCACCGTTGGCGTCAGTGTTGCCAAGGCGCCTACCACCCCGGGTCAGCGACATGCAAGGAGAGCTTGGAAGTTTCAAGGCGGGTGTTATGAGGTCGGCAGGTCGGTCCCTGGAGCGAGATGAGAGAGAGATGGTCTGTCACGAGACAAGAGCTTGCTCTTGTGACTTCGCCCTAACGAGTATAAAAGGGCCTTAGATAGCAAATCTATAGCTCTTTACTTGGTATCGCCAATACAACATACTCTTTAACCTATTCCTTATACTCATTTCTTAGTCCTTGATCAAGGTTCTCTTTATCTACTTCATTCTATTGCTTGGTCTGCTTTCTTGACAATACCAAGTCATACACCTAAAGAACCTTGGATCAAACTTTGTCTGTTTTCTATTGATATACTTCAGCGCTCAAAAAAAAAAAAAAAAAAAAAAAAAAGCCTTTTCCACAACAAAACCAAACCCTATCTTCTTCAAGTTCTTTCCTCTTTTACTACCATCTTCCGTACACAACCCACAACCCTCAGAAACTACAACAACTCTTCACTTTCCGTATCAACTACAATGCTACCCGATAGTGAGATCCTTATAGCCAACGCGCGCTTCCAAGCACTGATGGACCGAGTAGCCACACTTGAACAAATAGTTCAGACGGTCACTCCCTTGCAAGCCAAAGTCACCGAACTCGAGGAGACTGTTCAGAAGTACCGTGATATGCTGGACTTCATTCTTTCGAACGAAGATTTCTTCACAAGCCTGACCGTCAACCTCAACCCTCGATTACTCAGCCTCGAATCCAACGTCCAGAAGATGACGTCACAATTACCACCCATCACTCGCGCAGAACTAGGCAAACTATTTTATGATCACAAGACCGATGTCACCAACACAGTGAGTGCCATCTTCCAATCAACTACACCTCACTCCAGCAATAGCTCCCCTTCGAAGCCAAAAGTAGCACCCCCCGCAGTCTTCTCCGGCAAGCGTGAAGATTGGAAAGGGTTTCAGGCTCAGCTGGAACTCTTCTTCGTTGCAAACGAGACCCTCTATCCGAACGACCACGACCGCATTGTGCTGGCTATCTCGCGCCTCGGTGATACTGCAGCGTTCAAGTACATGCAGAGATACGTTCCGTCCTTCAAGTTGCCTGTCGAGGAGAGACCCGCATGTATTTCTAACCTGGATCAGTTCTTTGCTCTTATGAGTAAGAACTTTGGAGTCTCCAATGCTCACGTCCTAGCAGAAGCCCAACTCCGTCAACTTAGACAGCGCGGTTCTGCCATCGACTATACAAACCGTTTCGTCAACCTTGCAGCGGATACAGCATGGAATGATAGCGCAATGATTTCACAGTTCCGCCTCGGCCTGAAGGAGTCTGTTCAAGAAGCCATGGCAAACTACCCCGAGCCACCTACCTTTGCCGAGTTTTCACTGTGCTATAATCACGTGTATCATTAGGACGAAGAGTACATAAGGACTCTTCGTCCCTGAATTAAACAGATCCCTCTCTTTGTTTCGTTATCCCTATTCCCATCATAACCTTTACTATCACAACCCCGGTTATTATTCTCCATTTTTCTTAACGAATTCACAATAGGGATCTTCCCCACTTCACACACCCCTACACGCATTCACTTTTCTAAAAAAAAAAAAAAAAAAAAAAAAAAAGACACGAAAGGAATGAATGCACACCCATCACCGTATGGAAGGTCAGCCATGCAGCTGACAGAGCACCGTCTCACTACTGGCACCACTCCAGTCTGAAAACACTGGAACCACTACCGCTTATACTCAAGGGTATCAAAAGCACGACCTCGCATCGATTGTGATGCTTGAGCAGAGACAAAACCTCACCGCAGGTAAGATCTCCACTGACGATTAGTGTCACATGATGTTGAAAATAAAAGACGATGTCATCGTTTGTTGATTCTCAAGATTTTCTATGGGATGGCGTGATTCAAGCATGAACCAATGGCAGATGACCATCAGGTAGCGATGAATGCGCTTTGTGAGAACTTTGCACAAGATCACAAGTGAGAAGGATGGAGGAGGAATGAAAAAGTAAAACACTTTGTCAACACACCTTTACCATCTCCCAACAACTCTCCTTCTCGACAGCGCAACAAAACACACACATCATGAACGATGACAACGCTCCCTCATCTGGTCCCCAAGGAGACAATACCCCGTCCCCTCCTCGCTCTACTAGCGACAGCGGCAGAACACCGCCACGAAGGACGTCGCCCACACGCGCGCACCCATACGCTGACAGAAGGAACAGCACTACAACGCCCCAGCGACCGACTCACAACTATCTTCATGACGTTGCTCCACCGCACTTCTGGGCGGTTCAACCCGATGAAGGCAGGATAGGCACTGTGCAACAGGCGAAGACTGGGACAGAGAAGTATAGAACGGGGACGAGAGTTGAAGCAGTGATGATTGATGTTATTACTATGGTACAACTAAATATATATACAAAGTCGCCAACTAGGTTTCTAGGTGTAGTGTCATAGTGAGTCAGAGATGATAGAGAGTGACAAGGAATGACTAACTAGAGAGCAATGATAAACCTAATATGTTGCACCTTCCCCTCTTAAAAAAAAATCCGCTAAGGAGGCCTTTCAGGTCCAAGTTATCATATGGTGTTTGTTACATCTCTGTAGATCTCGACAATATCCATAGCGACTATGGGATGAGAATGTATATATGATACCAAGCATATAAGACAACCATTGTAACATTTTTTGTTTAACTATCCTACTAAACACCAACCTATTCTCCAAACAACAAAGTCTTCTTATTTTTCGCACACCACACTCTTGAATATGTCCATCTACTATTAACCTGTAACCCTCACTGCAAGATTCGCCAGAGTAGTTCTTGTATGTCATCATCTAAAGCACTTGTACTCTCAACTGTATCTTTGGGGCGAAATACAGGGGAGAGATTACATTTTAAAAAAACATGTGCTGTCTATTGCTATTTTATTCTGTGTTCTGTTGCCCACTATGAAGAGATATGTCAGTTATGGAAGTAAACACTCCGTTCCTTGGGCTTTGGATATTTTTTATATGCCTTTTTATATCCTCTGCACATGAAGGGGCTGCTACCGAATAAAATATAAAAATATATTTGTATTCTCAACTATGTGCTTGCTGTATGATAGATACCATCCTACATGCTGTTGTGTATGCAGTTAAGTATAAGCCTTTTTAAAAAATTGTTATTGTTGGTTAACGTCATGACAATCCAATACATAAATATTATTATGGATCTAACAAAACACTTCCAACAACTGCTTGATGACCATTGGACTTTCCTCAACGCTGGATGGCCAACAATTACACCACGTAATAATCATCGTACTGTAAGCAAGGAAATTGGGTATATGCCAGAAATAAAAGAAACCCTAAATCGACGCCTTGGTCCTATTCCAGTGTACTTCTTTCTTGTTGACATCTGGCCAAAGGTTAAGTATCCTGGTCCATACAAAGAAGTGGAGAAAGGTCTTTTAATGCTCTATCATCTTGTCAAAGGACTGTCTATGGAAGCAATGGAACCACACATGCCAAAAAGTAGTTTTCATGCAATGCACTCTGTGTTTTATAAGAAAGAATATACTTTGCACAACAAGTACATCACCAACTGTATTGCAACAATGTTCTCCACAATTAAAATACGCCTATTGTCTGCAAAGGAAAAGAATCCTCCATTATTTAAGCATGTTACATTGCATCTTGATGGTCATGATACAAGAGCAACATACAAAGGTGAGAGCAGTGCTGATATGTACTCTTACAAGCTGAAAAAGTCAGGGTTACGCACACAGGTAGCAATGGATTGTAATGGCATGGCCTTATTTGTCTCCAAATCTGCATCTTGCAAGAACAATGCTGATGGAACAATGCTGCTAACGATGAAGTTGGACAAGAGAGTGCATGAGATGGATTGCATTGCTCTCGATGGAGGGTATCCACAGTTCTTAAGGAGGCTTATAGATGAGTCTGATACTCTTAAAGTCCAAAATTTCGCTCATCCATACCGTAAACAGAAGAACAAGGAACTTACACAGGAAGAAGCGTTATACAATACCACCTTTGGTAGTTTCCGCTCGCAGATGGAATCTCTGTTTGCAGACCTTGGTTCCACATTTGAGAAACACAACAACCGTACTCCTGTGTTGGTGGATAAGAAACAAACATATAATTTGCAGTTGAAGTTATCTTTGTTACTCTTAAACATGAAAAAGATGGTTGCTTTGTTGAAGATTTCTGCAGAACCAATTCATACAGCTTGGCTTCGCGAAGGATTCGAGTATCCGACGACAGAGAACGACGTTGAGCAACCAATGGGATATGTTGATGTTGGTGCGCTAGTGGAGGATGGAAATACAATGGCACAACTCCAGAACAAATTTCTTGGTATTAATCTTCATGGTGATGTTGATGTTAATGTTGATGAGGACACACCAATGGATCAAGCAGTAATAATGCAACCCGGTCTTTCCATTGAGCTTAGAGGTACGAAGCGACAAATGGATGTTAATGGTAATCTGTAGACTTATTGCAGGTTTTTAAAAGAATAGACATACATGGCCTATTTAGTCAGCTTTAAGATACGGTATTAACTGCCAAGACGCTAATATGCACCGGTATCTATTATTAAAAGCCATGGTATTATTGTAGTAGATCGGATGCTATTCTATGCTATTCTACAGCATTCCTTTTTATTTAACACAGAGGATAAACACATGTACAAACCTACGTCATAAAATAATACTACATTCTTAACCATTTTTAAACCCCGTCTTTAATGCCAAGCAGTCTTAATAAGCAAGATCTACGTCATACGAGGAACACTACATTATTAACCACTTAGATGCCTTTTTAAAACTCTTTTGTTACTAAGCGCCAAGCAGTGCTAATAAGCAAGCGCTATTAATGTCCATTGTGGCAGTGTTCCTGAATTAGTATAAATAAAGGAGTCCACTTCCCTCTTGCTTAATCTTTATCTAGTAACCAACCAACAATTATCCATATCTATACAACCATCCATACCTATACAACCATCTTTTATTGCAATTCTTTATATCAGTGTACTAAGCAGCTGCAATCTACCACACATAAACTGAAAACTCATTCACACCCACCATACCACAAGTACAATCCATATTATTCATATCCAAAAACATGAAGTACGTTCAGCTTACAATCGAGCTCATCACCAAGGCCTTTGAGACATTCTCCTCTAAGAAGGGAGTGGAGTTTAACAAGAAAGATGCAAATAAGATCTTTAAGGCGCTTGATGAGGATGAGGAAGTAGAGAGATACTACTTTTGTGGAGAAAAGTGCACCAAGTCCAAGCGCAAATGCATGAAGGAAGTTGATGATGAAGGCATGCATTGTTATGTCCACGATCCTGCGCGCAAGTGTCAAGGCACAACTATTAAGGGTGCTAATTGTGGTAGTGTAGCCAAACTTGGTCAAACATACTGTGGACGTCATCAAGATCAAGATAGAGGTTATATAAAACGTAGTAACAACAACGCACCTGTCGACAAGCGTACTAAGTCTTCCAAGGCTTTAAAGAAGACACATACTTCTAAGTTTGTGTCTTCCGATGACGATATGACTTCCGAGGATGAAGAACCAAAGAAGCGAAAGAGAAACAAGCAGGAGTCATCGGATGAAGAGCCGTCCGATGATGATGATGAAGAAGATATAATTGCCGTCTCCTTTCCGTTGAGTCCAAAGGTAGTTGACATAACGTCCAAGAAAAATGTACCACTCGCTAATACATGTATATGGACGCGTTATGCAACTAATCCAGCTTTCCTGTATGCAAAAAGCTTTACTGTAAATGGCAAGTACATTATTAGGCTAAAGGAAAAGAATCTCTACATTGCATTGTGTCCACCTAAGCTCATGGGCAAGAATCTCCCTGCGCCAGAAATATCTGAGAAAGAGGCACGCATATTGGCCAAGATGGGTCTTCAAGAGGCAACTTCAGCAGATGTAGAAAAAATAGAAGAGTCTTCTGCTGATGAGAATTCTGACGATGATACAGATGATGGTGATACGTCTGATAATGCTGACTCTGAGGATGATTCCTCTAAAGATAAAGACTCTGATGATGGCAAGTCCAATAACAGACCTGATGTAGAATCTGGAGATGATACCTCTAAGGATAACCCTGATGAAAAACTATCTCATAAAAAGCCATCTAAGGATGATGAGAAGAAGACTTCTCGAAAGAAAAGGCATTCAGAGATGCCCAAAAATGCAGAGCCATCTTCTAATGTAGATGTTTCTAAGGATGAAAAAGATGAACACACATTTGCACTGGCCACAACGGTGCGTAACATTAGATCAGAGAAAGACATACCACTTGCAAAGGATGGAGGATGGATGGTTCATCCTAATAACGACATGCTTGAGTATGCAACTAACTTTACGATGAAGGCTAAGTACATTGTCAAGCTATGTGGAAAGAATACATACGTTGGCCTGTTTACGCTTGATCATCTGCGTGGCGGTGGTGATGTTCCAGAGATGGATATCTTGGAACGCTCCATGCTTAGCAAGATGAAACTTCAAGAAATGTCTGATGAAGAGAGAAAGATGCTTTTCAACGAGGAGGTCGAAGTAGAAGAGGAACTACCAGTGGAAGGACCGACAGATATATCCAAGATGAAATGGAAAAGGTTTCACAAGCAGCAATTGGAGTATTCCAAGAATGTACTTGTAAATGGAAAGCACATTCTCAAGATCCGCAAGCAAAACATTGTAGTTGGCTTGGTGACTGATGACCACATTGGTGCAGAGAATGTCGACTATGATAATCTTAACCAAAAGGAAAAAGAAAAGATCTTTGCTATGGGCTTTAAGCCACAATGGTCTAAGGATAGGTCGACAGAGAAAGGTGAACCGGTAGAAAAAATAGATGATGAGGTGCAAGAGTCGAATATTAAGGAAACTTTAGATGAACTTGTAGAAAAAGTAGATGATGAGGTGCAAGAGTCGGATGTTAAGAAAACTCTAGAAGATGGTGGACCTATGGAAAGCGAAAATGTGAATGCCTCAAGTGTTTACACTACAAAAGACCATCATGATTTTCTGAAGGCAATGGGAGAAGTATATAGCAAAATAACAGCTATCGAAGAAGAACTCCGCGAGGAATACGTTTCGGCAGATGGTAATGCAGAAGAAAAAGAACTAATTTTTCACCTAGGTTTGTTGGAGAAAGATTATTCCAACTACGAAACATGGCACATGGATAAGTTTGGTTCCCGCGAACCACATTCCGATATATTATGTAAGTTTGCAAAAGAAGGATCTAACAACAGAAAAACCATAGTGCAAAGTGTATTAGATAGTATTCAAGCCAAAGAGAAAAGTACGATGGAAGAAAAGAAGCCTCTTGAAGTAACATTTGAGACCGCAGAAGAGTAGATCAAGAATTTTAAAAACTGTAGATATACCACTTGCACAAATAAAGCTTTTATATATGGAATACACATGTAATATTATCCTCGTCCCTTCCAATGAGATTCACCAGATATATTACCCATCTTTTTAAAAACTTCCACCATCCTTTGCACAATTTACAATATTTCTTTCTTGATCACAGTGGTGTTTATCCACAATCTACTTATATTTAACATTACGAAAATTACAATAACTATATCTAATATGTTCTACAATGCATGCACTCTTTATGACATTTATTTTTTCACCATTGGCATGTTTACCAACGATCTGTATAGGAGGCCGCATATCAACAAATATTATAACAATCGTAACTTCCTACAAAGTATGTTACATCAAACATTATAAAAACCACGATAACTTCATCTGAGACGTTCCACAATGCATGCACCCTCACCATTATTGCATTACCCATATTTTTTTAAAACATTCACCTAGGAGGCCTTTCAGGTCCAAGTTATCATATGGTGTTTGTTACATCTCTGTAGATCTCGACAATATCCATAGCGACTATGGGATGAGAATGTATATATGATACCAAGCATATAAGACAACCATTGTAACATTTTTTGTTTAACTATCCTACTAAACACCAACCTATTCTCCAAACAACAAAGTCTTCTTATTTTTCGCACACCACACTCTTGAATATGTCCATCTACTATTAACCTGTAACCCTCACTGCAAGATTCGCCAGAGTAGTTCTTGTATGTCATCATCTAAAGCACTTGTACTCTCAACTGTATCTTTGGGGCGAAATACAGGGGAGAGATTACATTTTAAAAAAACATGTGCTGTCTATTGCTATTTTATTCTGTGTTCTGTTGCCCACTATGAAGAGATATGTCAGTTATGGAAGTAAACACTCCGTTCCTTGGGCTTTGGATATTTTTTATATGCCTTTTTATATCCTCTGCACATGAAGGGGCTGCTAAGTCCTAAGGCCATGGTCGCGCTTGTACTTGTTGAGGATGTCCTTACAGTGTGCCAGTTCACTCTCTGGTTCCCATGTCCAGTCCTCGCGCGGGTATCCTTGCCATTGTAGAAGGTACTCCATGTTGTTGTTAACCTTCCTATGATCTGCAATGGCCTCGACCTCATACTCTTCCTCGTCTTCAACGATAACCGGTGGTGGCCGTGCTGGTGTTCTTGGTCCTAGCGTCGCAGGTGATGGTTGGTAGCGTCGGAATCGGTCGACGTGGAAGACGGGGTGAATCTTCATGGACGGTGGAAGATCAAGGCGGAAGGAGACCGGGGACAGCTGTTCAACAATGGTGTGGGGGCCGGCAAAGCGAGCCAAGAGTTTCTGCGACGTGCGGGTGCGGTCCGAGGGTAAGGTGATATTCTCAAGGTTAAGGAGAACGTGGTCACCAACCTTGAAATCATGCTCTCGCCGATGGATGTCGGCGTTGGCTGCTTGACGTTCTTGGGCGGCAGCAAGGGACTCCTTAGCGAGGGTGAGGGCTTCGCTTCGAGATTGCACGAACTCGTTAACCGATGGGTTGGGGCCGGGAGTAGGGGTCAACAATGACATGGGCATGTTGGGATGGGCTCCGGAGTTCAAGAAGAACGGGGAGACTCCAGTGGAGGCATTGGTGGCGTTGTTCGTGGCAAATTCGGCGGCGGAAAGTAAGAGGTCCCAGTTAGACTGCCGTTGGTCGACAAAGTTACGGAGCATGGTGATAAGGGTGCGGTTGGCACGCTCGGTCTGGCCATCGGTCTGAGGGTGGAAGGCAGTCGACATGGCAAGGTGGACGTCCATCAGACGGCTCAATTCTTTCCAAAAGCGGCTCGTGAACTTGGTATCGCGGTCGGAGACAATGGTGGTTGGCATGCCGTGCAAGCGGAAAACATGGTCGAAAAAAATGCGTGCAACTTGCGAGGCGGAGTCGGTGGTGTGGCAGGGGGCAAAGTGCACTTGCTTTGTGAGTTTGTCAACAAAGACCGTAATGGAGTCAAAGCCGCGTGGGGTCTTGGGTAGGGGGCCGACAAAGTCCATTGTCACCGTTTGCCAGGGTCGATCGGGAATGGGTAGGGGCTGGAGGAGGCCAGCAGGTGGTTGGTTGCTGGGCTTAGTCCTTTGGCACGACTCACAGGTCTGCACATACAGCCGGGTGTCCTTCGCCATAGATGGCCAGAAGAACCGCGAGTGGAGATGACCGTACGTCTTCTCGAAACCGAAGTGACCAGCTATAGCGGAGTCGTGTGCATCGTGAAGAAGAGAAAGCCGAAGGTCAGAGTTCGAGGGGATACAAACAAGTAAAAGATCATTACGTTGAATGCAAAGAACACCATCAACAAGAGAGTAATTAGACGGTGGACTTCCCTGGAGGCAGCTTTCATAGATCGGTTTGAGGCGGTGATCCTCTTTGTAACCATCCATCAGGCGCTGCCGGAGCCTGGGGTCGAGCTGTACTGAGAGTGTGTTAATCTCTCTATGGTCCGGTCGGCGAGACAGGGCATCTGGGACAATGTTGTCGGCTCCTTTCTTGTACTTGAAGGTGAAGTTGTATTCCTGCAACAGTTCCATCCAGCGGGCCTGACGGCGGGTGAGTTTGGGTTGAGTGGGGAAGTGTTGGAGGGTGGCATGGTCGGTGTATACGATGAAGTGGGATCCGTCCAGATAGTAGCGCCATGTCTTCAATGCATGTACAACAGCCAACAGTTCCTGTTCGTGTGTTGGGTAGTTGCGTTCGGCAGAGTTCAGCTTGCGGGAGGTGAAGGCGACGGGGCGCGACTCGCCATGCTCATCGGTCTGAAAGAGAACGGCACCGAGAGCAAAGCCGGAGGCATCGGTTTCGACGGTTGTTAGAAGGTCGGGGTCGAAGATACGTAGAACAGGTGCTTTACTGATGGCCTCCTTCAGAGTCGTAAACGCTACTTCCTGCTCCTGAGACCAAGAGAAAGGAACGCCTTCACCTAAGAGAGCGGTCAACGGTAGGGCGATCGAGGCAAAGTTAGCGATGTACTGATGATAGAACTGTGCAAGACCAACAAACTGCTGAACATCTTTCTGCTTCTGGGGACGGGGCCATTCACGGATGGCACGAACGAGACCGCCGCTCGTATGGATACCGTCCTTGGAGATGACGTGGCCGAGGAACTCGGTCTCTTTCTGCATAAAGGAGCACTTGCTCAACTTGGCGTAGAGACCGTACTTGCGGAGGAGCGTGAGGACGGATCGGAGATGTTGTAGATGTTCGGCCTCGGTGCGCGAGTAGATAAGAATGTCGTCGAGGTAAACAACAACCCACTTGTCGAGAACAGGGTCTAATACTCGTAGCATCATATTGGAGAAGGACGCCGGTGCATTCGTTAACCCGAAAGGGACCACATTAAATTCGAAATGGCCGTAGCGGCAACGGAAGGCTGTCTTGTGTGTGTCCTCTTCTGCTATACGTTGCTGATGGTAACCGGAGAGGAGGTCAAGTTTGGTAAAGTAGCGTGCCCCGCGGAAACGGTCGATAAGTTCATCAATGCGGGGAAGGGGGTGTCTGTTCTTTTTTGTAATCCGGTTTAACCCTCTGTAATCAACACACATACGCAAGGAACCATCCTTCTTTTTCACAAACAATACAGGGGCACCATAAGGGGAGGTAGAGGGTTTGATAAAGCCTTTGCCAAGTAGGTCGTCGAGTTGCTTCCTTAGTTCATCCAATTCAGCAATCGAGAGACGTATAACAGGGCGAAAGGGGGGATCAGCGCTCGGATCAGTTTCGATCTTCATTGCATCGCCTCTGTCAGGGGGAAGGCCAGAGGGGAGGGAGGAAGGGAAAACGTCGGGGAACTCGTTGTGGACGATGTTGTGAATGTCGGGTGAGAGTGGAGGGGAGGTCGGTTTGTTGTCATTACTGTTGTTGTCGTTGGTCTTTTTAGCGATGTTGACGAGGGCGAGGTAGACAGCGTTTCCAGGTTGGGTAGCAAGGGAGTGAAAGTGAAGGTGAGAGAGGAGTTTCCCTTGTGTGCGAGCGGAGATGGAGTTGGCGTTGGCACCACGACAGCGCCAGAGAACAGTGTGTCCATTGTGGGTGAAGTGAAGGTCGTTGTTTCGCCAGTTGATGAAAGGGTTGATGGTCGTTAGCCAGGGTTTTCCAAGGATGAGGTCGTAGTTGGAGAGGGGGTAAATGAGTGCTTCCAGTTTGTCGGAGTAGTGGTCGCGGTCGATGGTAAAGGTGGAGGTGGATGATGAAATGGAAGAGGAACCGTTTGGAAGGATGATGGGGATGGAGGGGCCAGGAGTGCGAGTGAGGGAGTGTTGTTTGCAAAAAGAAGAACTGATGACGTTCCCTTCCGCACCGCAATCGATTAAAATACGCGCAGGGGCACCAGCCACATTACCAATAAACGACAAGAGTGTACGGGAGGCTTTCTCAGCCGTGAAAGCGTGCAGACGGACGGATTTGTGTCGCAAGCGTTTGGTCCTGCGCTTGGACATGGGTTGGTCTAAAGCAGCAGGAGAGGAGAGTGGGTCCAGGTCCACTTCTTCTGATGGGCTAAGACCAACAGGCGAGGTATCAGATACGTCGTCGGTGAGTTGTAACTCATCGTCAAAGGGTACCGTGGTGGAGTGAGTGTTGGGGGCAGTGGTGGTCGAGTCGATGGCAATTGAGGAGGGAGTACGAGGCGAGGCAGGGATGGATGAGGGAAAAAGGGAGAGTGGAGGAGGAGAGAAGGAGAGTTTGTGTAGGCTACGAGGTGCGGATGTGGTAGTGCGAATAATGGATACAGAGGGGGGAGTGTTTTTGATAGCAGAATTTTTATTCTTGGAACTGTAACTTAACTCTGGTAAGGAAACACTCCCTTTGTCCAGAGGAGAAAGGGAGGGAACGTCGACGATCAAGTCCTGGACTAAGCCTGATCGTCGGAGGCTTTTCCCGACTCGGGGGAATCACCCACGGCTACTTGATAAACCCATCGTCCTTGGCGGTTGTTGTTGTTGCCACGGTTGGTATTGTTGTTGTCGCCGTAGATGGGGCACTCCTTTGCATAATGTCCAGGTTGGCGACAGCGACGGCAAGCATTGTTGTTTTTACACCATTCGCGTTCCTGAGGGGTCAGGGAAGGGGGATTACCGTTGTTGTTGTTTCGGGGGCCGTTGTTGTTATTGTTGTTGCGGTTGTAGTTATTGTTATGACCCATGTTTCTCTCTAGGCGATTAAATCGTTGGGTGATATTGTTGAGGGCGATCTGGATGTTGTCGATTTCCATGGGGGTGGCTTGAGAGAGAGCGGAGGAAGAGGTGAAGGAAGAAATGATGGGGGCGGAGGCGATGGCGAGCGAGTTGGTCTTGGGGCCGGTGTCGGGTTTGAAGGAGTAAATGCGGTCCATCTCTTGGGCGTATTGAAAGATCTGAATGAGGGTGATATTGGGGTTTTGAATAATGTGTCCTTCGATCATCTGTTGAAGAACCAAGGGGCAGTTGTCGATAAAGGATGTTTGGGCGAACTCGTTGACCGTGGTCTTGGCAGCGTCGGTGGAGGCATAACCAAGAAGGGCGCCCAAAAGTTCCTTGAATGTAGATAAGTAGGTCGAAAAGTTGGTGGTCATGCGAAGATTGGTGAGGTGTCGTCGACAGGAGCCCGCAAAGTTGTTGGGAATGTACTCTAGCTTAAAAGCAGGAGTAAACTCGGTCTCGAAGTTGCAAGTATCAGGGAGCCCACATCCATCAAACCATCGGGCAGGGCCAGGCGTGCCCAAGTACGAGAGAGCGTGGGGTGTTCGTTCAGTCTCACTTATCTTAGCAAGGTTGAAGTAGCGGTTAACCGCAACGAGCCAGGCCAAGGCAGAGAAACCGTCGCGGGCGCCTGTAAAGACAGGAGGGGGGTTAAGGCGGGCAGGGGTAACCATGACTGGTAGTGCAGAGAGAAGTGCGGAGAGGTCAAAAATGTCCAGAGTGTAAGAGGGTACGAAGGAAAATAGGGGCAGGGAATGAAATTCAGGGCTGGTGTGCAGAGAGAGCTGGGACGAGGGAAAATTAAAGTAAAACGCGGGCAGTGAAAACGAGGAGGGAAAAATCAAGAGGTCAGTGGAACGAGGGAACCTTTGCTACCATGCAACAGGCGAAGACTGGGACAGAGAAGTATAGAACGGGGACGAGAGTTGAAGCAGTGATGATTGATGTTATTACTATGGTACAACTAAATATATATACAAAGTCGCCAACTAGGTTTCTAGGTGTAGTGTCATAGTGAGTCAGAGATGATAGAGAGTGACAAGGAATGACTAACTAGAGAGCAATGATAAACCTAATATGTTGCACACTGTAGCGATACGAAACGCCCAATCCCTTCTTGTACACCTTCAATCCTCGAAGACATACGCTGCCGCCCAAACCATCCACCGACTGTGCGATATGCACGGCATGTTCGACTCGGAAACCGAGCCACCCATTGACATCGGTACCACCATCGACCTCCAGGACCAGGAGTACTGGAAATACAATCATATGATGGAAGGATTGGAGACAAAAATACAGGTTGTCAAGCGCACCCTATCCCATTTCGATGATTATTGGCAGAGGAGAGTCGCATTTCCTCCCTCTCGACGCCTCGACACGCACAACTACTTTCATCGGCCATACGTCACAAAAAGGAGTTCGGCTGTACAAACAAACAGACCTGACGCTGAACAACACTCCACGCACGAGGAGACGGAAGAACAACATCAGCAAGTTGTGTCGCCACGGCAGGATCAGTAGTAACAAGATCTCAAACACAACTCTAAATAAAAAGAACTGACTAATACAGTTTTGTTTTCTCTCTTGAATCGTTGTACTTCTCTCTCCCTCATGACTCAAGCCTAATCACAAGGATAAAATATACTCCCGCACAATAGCATGTTTGCTCCTGCGCGTCATCGAAGGTGAGTCTTCACCTGCAGATCACAGGATGCACAATGAAAGACGATGTCATCACCCTCATCAGTAGATGATGTAGAAAAATCGATGTCATCATGCATCGTGTTATATTTTTTATTTATCTTCTCCGCGGATGATGCAAGCGCTGTTGGCACAAGACATGTATGCATGAGAATGAGTTGTTTTTCTTTTCGCTTTTACAAGCACGCCATCTTTGCATGAGTGTCTCGACCAATCACCATGCACCACGTCCTGATTTCCTTGATCCAATTGGCATTCAGGAAAAGAAAAGGAAGAGACATAAAAAGAATGAGAAAAGAGAGAGAGGATGAAAGAAACAACTTCTTTCCACATTCTTCGCTTTCCATCCCATTCACACAAACACCCTTCACTACCAACTTTCACAATGACCTCAACCCGCTCCACCCATGGCACCAAAAGGCCAGTCAAGAACACTCGCTTTGCACACGAGCTGGAGTCGTCACAACAGCAACTGTCTGCGTCTAACAACTGGTCCAAGGAGGACAGCATCGAGCAAGAGGACAGTATTGAGCATGAAGACTGTATCGATCATGAGGCCGATGAGACGGTTTGTCTCTCACAGGACCCGCTCTCGCAAGTCGCGGAAGACCGATCGCCTCCACCAGTCTCCTCGCCTATACCCGTCTCTTCACCTGTACCTGTACTGTTGTCTGCACCGGCACCATCTTCGGAGAACATTCCTCAGGCTTGGTGGACCTCTCTCCAACAAGAACAGCTAGTGGCCTACACTCAGCAACAGCAAGAGCTCTTTGCTCAGGCCGGGCGGGTGTACGAGAGGCTTCTCTCCTGCACCTCGCAGCAGGAATACGATCAGCTGACGTTGGTGAGGCAACACCTAGATCAGAAAGAAAAGGAGCTTCGATACATGTTGGAAGCACGACAAGCCTGGGAATCTTTCGCCCGTACATACGAGCAGCGCCTGACGTACCTTAACTCCCGTACGCAGTCTAATCCTTAGGTTGTGTATGATGCTTCAATAGAAATAAACACTATCTCTAGTATTTTCGTCGATGTTGAGTTCCTAATCGAGCGATTGCATTTGTTTCTTTCCTTCGCACCTCCATCACCGGAGACTGTCAGACGCAACCTCGAACCTATGTCACCCTCGGATATGACCGAAGAGCAATTAGCATACATAAGTAGCGATCTGTGACACCTATGCGAATAGCAGCGAAATCAAAATAATAAATGCTGACAGAAACAACAGCAAAGAGCCTCACTCTTTTATCTTTGTTATTTTTGCTTGCTAATTGGAAAATAAAAGAAAATAAAGGAAAATAAATGCTCCCTTTACACCATTACTAGGTACAAACAACATCCTTGCTATAACACTGCAAACGTTGCATACGGATTAAAAATCTACGCTGCTATGACACGTGTCGGTAATGAGTATTTAAAAGAAACCTCTTCCCTAACAAGAAAGGCAACTTTTCGATCCACTCAAGAACTTCTGAACTTTTGTCCGACACTCTCACTCTAAATCACAAATCATCACTCCTATGTCTGACAACTCTGACAACAACGAGTTACCCACTCTCCAAGACTTGGCTATCGATGCCACCGGCACCTTTGTTGTCGCTCCATCCCCCGTCCCTGTATTCCGAGAGGACATCATTATGAGCGATGACAACGAACAGGCCTCGTCCATCTTGTCGGCAAACCAGCACATGCAGCCCTCTCCAGTCTTCGACCCGAACACTTTTTCTGCCATGACGGATGCTGACGACGTGAGTGACTCCGAGCTCACCAGCGGTCTTGAGGAAGCCATCACCACCAAGAAACACGATCTTTCTAATTGGTCTAAGCTATACCGTCGCACCCTGCTCAAGATGCACAAGAACCCTCTCGATGTCAATTACCAGATGTGGCAGAAGGAAGCCATCCAACTCTTAGAAGTCGTGCGCCAAAAGACCGCGGATTGTGCGCGTCTGTCAGCAGCACTGGCTCTCGACCAACCGATGGCACCGATCGTGACCGATCCCACGGCGACTATTGCCACCGCTATCAGGGTTGACAGCAACAAATTGACACTCGACTCGGGCACTCCCCGATTTGGTGACATCAAGCACGGCAAGGGACAATCGTATCAAGTCATCCGCGACCCTCACTTGTTCCTCGATGGATTCAAGACTTACTGTGAGAACAGTTACGGCGAGACTCCTTTCCTCGCCAGTGCCCAACGCCTGCTCTGTATGGCGATTCTGGACGATCAGACACGACAGCAGTTCACTGATGAGCTGTCTCGTCACGGCAGTTCTTCCCTAACTTGGGAGGAATGTGAAGTTGCCTTCGTCGACAGTGTTTTGACTCCGACGGAACGCTTCAAAACCGTTGCTCGTGTCGCCGAAATTGGCCGTCGTCACAAGGAGTCGTACCGAAACTTCGCTCTTCGTCTCCAACGATCAGTGCGCGTGTATCGAATTGATGATAACAACGCCACTGTACTGTCTGGCATCATGAGTTCAATCCCATCGGTGGAGCTCAACCTGATCAAGACATCGATTCAAAAGACTGGCACCTCCTTATCTGAGGTCAAGCTGGACTCTATTTGTGAGATCCTTACCAACCTCAGTGTAATGGAAGGACCAGACGACTCTCTCAAGAGACCCCACAGTCTCGTCGACGATGATGAAGATGACAAGGATGCCTCCTCGTCCAAGACCGGTAATAACCATGGTCACAAGCGACAACGTCACCGCAAGAACGACCGCAGTGGCAAAGGCAAACCGACTGCTGATTCGTCGTCGTTCCCATCTTCGTCTAACTCTGGCAAGAAGACTTTCCACTGTGACAATCACGGTGAAAATCGCTCGCATGATACCAAGAACTGCAGGCACTGCACCAAGTGCAACAAGAATGGCCACACTGCCCCCTACTGCAACAGTGATCGCAAGAAGAACTCTGACAGCAAGGGCGGCAAGAGCTACAAGAACAAGAAAGAAGGTAAATTGTCTATACCTCCTTTTTCTGAATCTGAATTTTTCTCTGTGTCTGATCAAACCTTGCTCACTCATGCTACTATTTCTCTACAGACAAGTGAACCTGAGGACCTCGTAGAGACGAACGACATGACACTTCCCTCTCCTGTCATAACAGAACTTAGTAATAAAAAATTACCACTGACTGGTTCTAACACTATCCCTATTGGTCCAATTCTGTCTCCTTCACTTGCTGTCCATACTTCTTCAGCAGAAGAAAATAATGTGTCTGTGACTACAGAAAATGATTTGTCTGTAACCCCTTTACCGGATAGCGAACAATCAGTTACAACTGATAAGGATGTACCTGCACCTACGAGTGCACGACCCCAATACGCGTTTCGCTCATTGCCAACAAAACAATCTGCCTTTGTCTCTGTGCCATACTTTGAAACAAAAGAACCGTCTTTTGCTAGCCTGTCTAACCTTGCTTCTCAAAGTCAGGCTAACATGGACTACCACAGTGACGATGACAGTAGCTTTGGTATGACGACTGAGGAACTCGACACTTTCGCATCTGACAAATTAACTATCAGACACTATGCTGCTATTAAGGATGCAGTAGAACACGACAATAGATTTCGAATCGAAATCCGTGCATTCAAGAGGACACACCATGCGTTAATAGATACTGGTGCTACACATTCTTTTATCAGACAGGACATAGTCAAGGAACATAACATTCCTTTCACTAAGATCCTTGGTAATTTTACACTAGCAAACAAGACTATTGTCGAACGCATTGGTGTAACTGATCAAGTTGAATTCGAATTCAATGGTCGGTTTCTCTCTGCCCCTTTTGAAATAATCGAAGATCAAGAGTTTGCTCTTACAATCGGAATGGATCTTTTTTATCATATGGGCTTCGCTCTCTGCGGTCTCCCAGAAATAAAAGAGATGTCACCTGCACATGATGTTCCCGTTGAAGACGAGAAACCATCTTTGCGTCCGATTACCACCCCTGAAGAGGAACTCACCGCTGAGTTTAAGCGCATGAAAGGAAGATTCCTAGATGCCATCAGCAAAGCACTCAAAGACAATGAAAATATCTCAAAGACAAGTCATTGCCCCGTTCCTGAGATGATGGTGTATCTACCTGTTCCAAAAGGTACCATTGTATATCGACGACCTAGACAATTTGCTCACTCCCAGAGACCCATATTGGATGAAACGGTCGCACGCTGGCTAGAGGATGATGTGATCGAGCTTGCACCTGCTGGCAACCCACATAACAACACCCTCACACTTGCAGCTAAAAAGGATTTGGATGGGAAAAAGTCATTGTGGCGAGTGTGTCTTGACCCTCGTGCTCTCAATGTACATTTACCAGAGGATAATTTCCCTCTCCCTCTCATCTCCGATATTATGCAAAAAGTAGCTGGTCATTCCATCTACAGCACCATCGACCTTACACAGGCGTACCATCGTCTACCTATTCATAAAGAAGACAGGCACCTCACTGCTTTCATGCATGAGGGAAAACAATACATGTTCAAAAAGGCCCCCTTTGGTCTGAAGCCACTCTCGAGCTTGTTCCAAAGAGGTATGTCTCGCATCCTTGACGATTTGCCTTTTGTTCTGAACTTTATTGATGACATTGTTATCTTTTCAAAGAGCAGAGAAGAGCATGCAGCTCATGTCAAATGTGTGATCGAAAGACTCAACGAGGCGAAATTGATCATCAACAAGAACAAGTGCAATTTTTTCAGCACACAGATCTCTCTGCTGGGATTCATTGTTGATCTCTTTGGAAAGAAAGTCGACCCTACCAAGTTGGCTAACATTCACGAATGGGCACCACCTACCACCGCCAAACAAGTGCAATCGTATTTGGGTACCCTCAATTTCTTTCGTGAATATATCCCTCTCTACAGTACTATTGCTGCACCACTTGATGCACTTCGTCATAGAGAAGGAACTTTTAAATTATCAAAAGATGAAATGGATTCTTTCAATGGACTCAAGGAACTACTTGTACGAGCTCCCGTGTTATCCTTCCCAGACTTCAGTCGACCGTTCTACGTTGCCACGGACGCGTCCAACGTTGGAATTGGTGCGGTACTGTATCAGTTGCCGGAAGGTGTACCCGAACCGAAGGATATGCAGTCCGTTCCCTCGAACGTCAACTACATATCTTTCATGGCTCGCACTCTGCAGGACCGAGAGAGAAAATATTCCGCTACTAAGAAGGAGTTATTAGCGATTGTTTTCGCATTGAAAAAATTCCATCAATATCTTTGGGGTTACCATTTTACCTTGTTCACCGATCATCGGGCTCTTACTTTTCTTCACTCACAGCAAGATTTGAACCCAATGATGACAACTTGGTTTGACACCATCATGGCTTACTCGTTCAACATTGTTTACCGTCCTGGAGTACTCAATGTGTTACCTGATGCGTTATCTCGTCAGTTCCCTCAGAAGTTGTGGACTGACAGGCCTAAGTTGAAAACACCAATGAAAGTGTACGGCTACATTCATATGCTGAAAGACAAATCGGTTCCTAGAATCACTGTCGCAGCGAAAGACCGTCCTTCACTCATGACTGAGGTTCACTCCCTCGGTCATATTGGTGCGAACAAAATGGTTGACAAAATTCACGCCCAAGACAAGACGTGGCCATTCATGGTCAAGGATTGTCTTGAGCACGTCAAACAATGCCCTGAGTGTCAACGCATTAATATCACTCGCAAAGGGTACCATCCCCTCAAGGCTATTCATGCACATTTACCAGGCGAGCATATGACTGTAGATCTCGCTGGTGAATTCCATTTGTCCTCGAAAAACAACAAATATCTTCTCGTCCTGACAGACGTATGCACCCGCTTCGTTATTTTGAGAGCTATACCTGATAAAACAGCCGCTACTGTTGCGACCACGCTGTTTGACATTTTTACTCTGATCGGATTCCCCCGAGTCCTTCAATCAGATAACGGAAAAGAATTTTCCAATCAGGTCACAAAAATAATGACAGAACAATTGGGTATCCATCACCGTCTTGTCACACCCTATCATCCGAGAGGCAATGGACTAGCCGAGAACCGGGTTAAAACGGTCAAAGAAATTCTTCGAAAAGAGACCAAAGGCAAAAACCACGAGTGGGATCGTCATGTTCCCATGGCCCAATTTGCCCTCAATGCAAATATTGCGAGTTTGCATGGTTCCACGCCTTACTCTCTTTTCTTCGCACGCAAGGAAAACGGACACTACAACTACACTGACCCCTTGAACCAGGTCATGTCCCACGAAGACTTGCTGAAGAGACTCGAATTTATGACTACGATCGTGTTCCCCGCTATTGAAGCGAAGGCGAAATCTAATCAGCGGAAAATGATTGAGAGATTCAATAAAACGATACTGCACAGCGAATTTCCTGATGGTTCCACAGTTATGGCGGTTGATCCTATCAAAGGAGACTCCCTCTCTCCGAGATATGAAGGACCGTTTACTGTTGTTCGTAAAAACAAGGGCGGTGCATACATCCTCAAAGATGGCACTGGCTCTATGCTTGGTCGTAACTATGCGCCCTCGCAGCTCAAACTTGTATATGAAGACCCAGACTCTTTCCTTACGTACGAAGTCGAGAAAGTTCTTGACGCTCGTAGTACAAAGGAAGGGACATGGGAGTACTTTGTCAAGTGGAGAAATTATTCTGATAACGACAACACCTGGGAACCAGAGGACAATTTTGTTGAGAGGAAATGCATCACGGACTATTGGGCCGATCACCCACCCCGTAATGAGGATCCTCGTCCGCACTCTCGTCATGATTCGCAAACGGATCAGCCAATGCTTACTACCGACGAACTAATGAGCGAACCTCAAAGTAGCAATCGCTTGAACACAAAGAAGAACAAGTTCACACCTAAAAAAGGTGAACACAACCTTAATCGCAATAAGCTCACTCAGTCCAGTCAATCAAAAATCAATGAGTTGAGACCTAGAACTCGTTCTCGGATCGGGAAGGATTGAAGACAATCATATCCTCCGATTGACACATAAAACGCATCGACGTTTTGTTTGAACAGAAATCGCTCTGACGATTTGTTCGAGGTTTTTTAATGGTGTCACAACCTTTTTCCTCACAATAATAACATACATCTGCAGAGGTTTTCTCGCTTTCCTCTTGCAATCAAATTCACTATATTGAGGTTTTTATTTTTTCCTCACAGCTTATCAACTTATCTACCGAGGTTTTTATTTTTTATCCTCACACACACATATACACATATTCTACTGTAGTCATTATTGTCTTTTCTACACCTGCTCTCCAGGGCTTTGCCCTTCCAAGGTTTTTTCGATTTTTTCCCTTACACCCCTTCTTTCATATGAGGTTTTCTTTTTTCCCTCAAACATCCAAACGACAACTCTTTCGTTTAGTCATAGCACTCTACTCCACGTCGTTTTGTCAGTTAGTAAGAAGCACACACAATTACTAGCATAGATACACTACTTCTAGCCCTAGTCTTAAACCCGGCTTACAGCCTCTCCCCCCGTGGAGGGTTATGTGCTATAATCACGTGTATCATTAGGACGAAGAGTACATAAGGACTCTTCGTCCCTGAATTAAACAGATCCCTCTCTTTGTTTCGTTATTCCTATTCCCATCATAACCTTTACTATCACAACCCCGGTTATTATTCTCCATTCACAATTGGCTATCGACATCGACAACCGACAGTACGGCTATGCAGTGACCCGTTCCGGCAACAAATCTTCCAGCACTCCGTCCCGTTCCACCACTGCCCACACTTCTACTACCACTCAAGCCTCATCCACCCCAACTACCGCGTCCACCCCTGCTACCTCAGCTCCCGCGACCACTTCGATGGACATGGATCTCTCGCATGCTCGCCATGGTCCTTTGCCACCGTCTGAGCGTCTTCGTCGTCAAAAGGAAGGACTGTGCACCTACTGTGGTTCAGCAGATCATTGGCTTGACGACTGCCCCAAGAAACCTGCAAAGCCCTCGTTCAAGAACGCCCCAAAGGCAACAGCCTCGATCTCGGCCCTTCAGCCTACACAGACTAGCGACCAGCCCGATGCAATCTCTTTCCAATTGGAAAAAGATTCAGCCTAGACAGTAAAGTTGGAGTGTGTCTGGGCGAGCTGTATAACAAATCTCCAAATGATCCTCTGCTATCCCCTATTACTATTCCAATTACTCTTCACTTCCAAAACTCCTCACTACCAGTCCATGCAATGATCGACTCAGGAGCAACCATCTCATTCATTCATCAAAATCTAGCACAACAGCACAATCTTCCACTAGCACAACACTTATTACAAATCTCTCTTGCCAATGGTTCAACACATACCTCTCATCACGCCACCACATTGGTTATGCAATCCCACTCACAACACTTTTCCACACACACTTTTCAACTCATTGCACTTGGCAATTATGCCATTATTCTTGGCATGGACTGGCTCCGCTCACACAACCCATATATCGACTGGGAGAAACGAACCATTACTATGCCATGCCTCCATCAGCACACACTCGACAAGCTTTCCCCCCTTGCACAATCAACAATGCCTCGATCCATCCCTTCCTTCCAGGAACAAGACCGAATCCTTCTGCCACCTTCCAAACCCAAATCCACTTTGGTTCCCACCAAGTACACCTCAGGATCCAACCAACTATCCAAATCCGCCAAGAACCGATCAGCAACCAACATCTCCATTATTAGCAATACACAACTCCGTCAGATCCTCAAGACCAATCAAGGAGTCGGATACATGCTCGACGTCTCCCGAATCGAAGAACTCGCCAGCGCAACCACCAACGACAACTCTATCCCTGAATCAAAACCCACAGTCCAACTGCCCGAGAAATATGCCGAATATGCTCAGGTATTCTCCAAGATGCAAGCCGACAAGCTACCGCCACATCGACCCTATGATCACAATATCCCTGTGGTCGAAGGAGCCACCGTGCCATTTGGACCAGTGTACAACCTATCACAAACGGAACTGCAAGTTCTACGCGAATATATTCAAGAAAACCTTGCAAAAGGGTTCATCCGTCGATCCGAGTCTCCAGCTGGCGCCCCCGTCCTTTTTGTTAAAAAAAAAGACGGTTCTCTCCGCCTCTGTGTCGACTATCGAAGCCTCAACAAGGTGACTGTCCCCAATCGATGCCCTCTGCCACTGATCTCCGAAACTTTCGACCGACTAGGCAAAGCCAAGTATTTCACCAAGCTCGACATGCGAGGAGCATACAATCTTCTCCGCATCAAGGAGGGCGACGAATGGAAGACTGCATTCCGCTGCCGCTATGGCCACTTCGAGTATACAGTCATGCCCTTCGGACTAATGAACGCTCCCGGAACTTTCCAAGCTTTCGCCAACGACGTCCTCCGCGATTACCTAGATGACTTTGTCGTGCTATACATTGACGACATTCTCATCTACTCCGACACCCTTGAGGAACATACCGCGCATGTCCGCAAAGTTCTCAGCAAGCTCCAAGACGCTGGTCTATGCTTAAAACTCGAGAAATGCTCGTTCGACAAGGACAAAGTCGAATTCCTCGGCTTTGTGATCGGAACTGACGGTATTTCTATGGACCCCGCCAAGGTTGCCGCCATTCGCGATTGGCCCACTCCCTCTTCCGTTTCGGATGTCCAGTGCTTTCTGGGTTTCTCCAACTTCTACCGTCGTTTTGTACGGAAATACTCCCATATCGCCGCGCCTCTCACCGCGTTACTCAAGAAAAATACTAACTTTGTCTGGACCGCTATCGCACAAGCCGCTTTCACGGAGCTCAAGTCACGCTTCATGTCTGGCCCCGTCCTTCGGCATTTCCAACCAGATCGCCCCTGCATCATTGAAACTGACGCTTCTGACAAGGCCCTCGGCGCTGTCTGCAGTCAGCGTGACCAAGATGGACGCCTACATCCTATCGCTTACTACTCCCGAAAACTATTGCCTGCTGAACTCAACTATCAGATCTACGACAAAGAACTCCTTGCCATTGTGTCTGCCTTTAAACATTGGCGACACTACCTGGAATTCTCGCCCGCTACCACGGAAGTCATCACCGACCACAGAAATCTTGAGTACTTTACCACCACGCGCCAATTGAGCCGCCGTCAAGTCCGCTGGTCTGAAATCTTGTCTGACTACAACTTTACCATCCATTACCGCCCTGGCTCCCAGAATGCCGCTGCCGATGCTTTGTCCCGGCGGGACAACCCTGGAGAGGGAGGTGCGGCCCAGCACGGCAAGACCGAGATGACCCTCCTACCGCCGATCCAGATTCTGAACACCATCCAGGCCCGGTCACTGCAACCAGAGACGCCAGCGATCCAGGAAAAAATCAAGACACTAATCCCCGATGATCTATACTTTGGTCCAATACTCGCCAAGACCGCAAAGTCGAACTCGGACAATGCCCAGTACTCAATTCAAGATGGGCTACTCCTGCGGGATGGCCTTGTCTGCGTCCCCGACGATCCCGAACTCAAGAAACAAATCCTTCAAGAATGTCACGACGCCCCAACCGCCGGTCATTTTGGAATTACCAAGACCTCAGACCTTGTCAGTCGAACCTTTTACTGGCCTTCCATGTGGCGTTACATCAAGGATTACATCAACGGTTGTGACACCTGCCAACGGACAAAGTCATCCACTCACAAGCCTTATGGACTTTTACAACCCCTGCCTGTACCCGATCGCCCCTGGACCTCAGTATCGATGGATTTCATCACCCAACTCCCCCCCTCAAACGGCTATACGGCAATCTGTGTTTTTGTGGACCGATTCACCAAGATGGCACACTTTGTCCCCACCTACGACAACATCAATGCACAGGATACGGTCTGTTTGTTCCTAGAACGCGTATTTTCAGCCCACGGTCTCCCGGATGACATTGTTTCTGACAGAGGCGCCACCTTCACTTCAGCCTTCGTTTCCACCATGTTCAAGTCTCTGGGGATCAATCAGAAGCTTTCTACCGCCTACCACCAACGCACCGATGGACAGACCGAGAGAGTAAATTCAATACTGGAACAGTACCTACGAGGGTATATCGACTATCAGCAAACGGACTGGAGCACCCTTCTACCGATAGCAGAATTTGCATACAACAACGCAACACACTCAACAACAAAAACAACACCATTCTTTGCCAACCTCGGCTACCATCCGAAATTCACCATCACCATCCCAAGAGTCTCGAAGGACAATGTCCCAGCCCAGGAACGCGTCCAGGCCCTAAAGAACCTCTATGCGGAGATGCAACTCAATATCCACACCGCCATTGAACAGCATGCCAGGAACTTCGACACCAAGGCCCAACCACAACCCAATCTGCAAGTAGGAGATCTTGTATGGCTAGACGCCCGGAACCTCCAAACGAACAGACCATGCAAGAAGCTCGACCATAAGCGCATGGGCCCTTACCGTATTCTCGAAAAAATCGGCACTCGATCCTTCCGTCTCGATTTACCACCAACGACCAAGCTACATCCTGTCTTTCATGTAAACTTACTTGAGCGTGCGCATCCAGATACGATCCCCGGTCGAGCCTCAAAACGACCTCCTCCGCTTGTCGTCTCCGGCGATGAGGAGTACGAGGTTGAGGCCATTTTGGATTCACGGATCAGGCGCAACCACCTTGAATACTATATACATTGCGGCCCCTTCATGTGCAGAGGATATAAAAAGGCATATAAAAAATATCCAAAGCCCAAGGAACGGAGTGTTTACTTCCATAACTGACATATCTCTTCATAGTGGGCAACAGAACACAGAATAAAATAGCAATAGACAGCACATGTTTTTTTAAAATGTAATCTCTCCCCTGTATTTCGCCCCAAAGATACAGTTGAGAGTACAAGTGCTTTAGATGATGACATACAAGAACTACTCTGGCGAATCTTGCAGTGAGGGTTACAGGTTAATAGTAGATGGACATATTCAAGAGTGTGGTGTGCGAAAAATAAGAAGACTTTGTTGTTTGGAGAATAGGTTGGTGTTTAGTAGGATAGTTGAACAAAAAATGTTACAATGGTTGTCTTATATGCTTGGTATCATATATACATTCTCATCCCATAGTCGCTATGGATATTGTCGAGATCTACAGAGATGTAACAAACACCATATGATAACTTGGACCTGAAAGGCCTCCCTAGGTGAAAAATTAGTTCTTTTTCTTCTGCATTACCATCTGCCGAAACGTATTCCTCGCGGAGTTCTTCTTCGATAGCTGTTATTTTGCTATATACTTCTCCCATTGCCTTCAGAAAATCATGATGGTCTTTTGTAGTGTAAACACTTGAGGCATTCACATTTTCGCTTTCCATAGGTCCACCATCTTCTAGAGTTTTCTTAACATCCGACTCTTGCACCTCATCATCTACTTTTTCTACAAGTTCATCTAAAGTTTCCTTAATATTCGACTCTTGCACCTCATCATCTATTTTTTCTACCGGTTCACCTTTCTCTGTCGACCTATCCTTAGACCATTGTGGCTTAAAGCCCATAGCGAAGATCTTTTCTTTTTCCTTTTGGTTAAGATTATCATAGTCGACATTCTCTGCACTAATGTGGTCATCAGTCACCAAGCCAACTACAATGTTTTGCTTGCGGATCTTGAGAATGTGCTTTCCATTTACAAGTACATTCTTGGAATACTCCAATTGCTGCTTGTGAAACCTTTTCCATTTCATCTTGGATATATCTGTCGGTCCTTCCACTGGTAGTTCCTCTTCTACTTCGACCTCCTCGTTGAAAAGCATCTTTCTCTCTTCATCAGACATTTCTTGAAGTTTCATCTTGCTAAGCATGGAGCGTTCCAAGATATCCATCTCTGGAACATCACCACCGCCACGCAGATGATCAAGCGTAAACAGGCCAACGTATGTATTCTTTCCACATAGCTTGACAATGTACTTAGCCTTCATCGTAAAGTTAGTTGCATACTCAAGCATGTCGTTATTAGGATGAACCATCCATCCTCCATCCTTTGCAAGTGGTATGTCTTTCTCTGATCTAATGTTACGCACCGTTGTGGCCAGTGCAAATGTGTGTTCATCTTTTTCATCCTTAGAAACATCTACATTAGAAGATGGC